TTCATCTGTCGAAATCCTGTAGATTCCCAGATCAAGATATTGGCAGGTTATCAATTTAATTCCTCAAACGTGAAAAAAGGAGAAATCGCACAAAATAATTGATTCTTTGCATACTTCTATTTTAGGAAATTCCCTGTATCAAAGGTCGCAAAGTGTGCTATCATCTGTCCGATAGATGTCTCAAGAACGTTTAATGTCAGGGGCTATGAAACAAGTTAATTGCGTTCCCTTAACAAAGAAAAGTATGTGTTTTCATATAGATTTTCCATTTATACACAGCTGCGACTCAATTACTGGTCAATTCATACATACATTGTAGAAACGTGCGTTTTTTCTACTACACAACACAAAATTATTTATTTTTGGTGTAAGATTTATTGTTTAAAATAAAGGACACGTAAAATGTTTCATAGCAAAATTACACGGCAAAAATCCCCATAAAGGATTCTCGTAACATCTTCAACATGCCTTAAAACAATATCAGAGGCACCACCACAAGAGGTAAGGATAGTTAATGTGTGGAGAAAACAATTGGGTGGTGAAATAAGTAGTTTTAATTTTTATCAGTGTTTATGGTAATGTTGTAGGAAAGGCGTGCGCTCGAGCGTTCTGACAGTGCACTTTGTTGTCATGACTAAATTCCATTTAACGAACACGTCAGAGACGTGTCCCCGCAACAAGAGGAAGAGATTGCATAAGACAGACGACCGACTCGTATCTAGTCAATAAAACGGGTTACGCTAGTCAATGACCTTTCTAGATCATTGCGCTTATTGCGGTCAGTACGCCAGTGTTAAATCCAAGAAGGCTAATTGTATTCTTTTTCATGTCCACCGTGTTAGCCAATCGAATAACACCACAAAGAAAAGTGCTCTCTTTGATTTAACAGTATTATTTCCCCGGACTCAAAACACAAGACAGCTAAGTTAAAAAGGAATTTTTGTCTTTCCCATACCCCAGAATAGTAGTTTTCTCAGAGAACTGCATCTAAAATGTTTTGTTGTAATGTTTTAAATACGTGCATCTTTATTTGTGTTGATCAGTAATTTCTGGTGAAACATATTTAGTGCCCTAAAATGAATATATTTTTTATCACAATTGAACATATCTGCAATCCGAATTAAAGCACGGAGGCATATTATGGCAAGAGATAATCCCGAACAAAACTTGAAAGAGTAAAAAAGATTGGAAAGCGTGTTTGGGTGCTTTCTTTATATCTTAAAAATGAATAGTGCACGTATTTAGTTGAAATGGACCACAGCAGTTGTCTTTCAAAAACGTGCACGTGATCAAAATGTTTTAATGGACTAACACGCGCCAATTATTTAATTGTCGTGTCTTTAAGCTGAGAAGTGCAAGATAAGTTAATGTATCATTTTTGCTACAGAGGCTAACTCCATCGATTAGTTTCCCGCTATAATCGTGTTATCAATGCATACCTTTACTTAAACCAATTCAAGGTATAGTGTATTGGCAAACATTGTCAAGTTTAGGCACAAAGCTGATATTGACTGACTGACGCTTTCTCAAGCGTCTAACCATTAGAGACAATATAAACGGACTATCAAGGGAATCATAATGGCAGGTGTCCGTATGGCGTGAATGGCAAGCATTTGTTCTGTCACGGTGGAAAATCGATGCAAACAGTAGTAAAATAGTCAAACTTTGCAGAGGATCATCGGTCTGTCTGAATGTCCAACAGTTTGTCTGCTGTCCGTTTGGTAAACTCATGGGTGAAAGTTGTAAAAAATGAAAAATCGCGAAAACGTAGCTTGCAATTTCGTAATGACCAAAATGAAGACTGAAAATCTTAAAATGAGGCATAATCCTGAAAACTTTTACCCATGTAAACTGCTTTTGTGGCTGTCTGATACATTTTTTCTGTGTTTGCTTGGTTTACTATGTGTGTGTGTGGGGGGGGGGGGGGGTATGTGTGTGTAACAACATTTTTGTGTGATTTCTTAGATGATTTTACTGTGAGCTTGAAAGTCTTCTGACGTGATCGCTTGCTTGGACACCTGTTGTGTTGCTTTCTGCTTGACCGACTTGGTCATCACCTGCTGGAATATCTAGTTTCACTGATGGCCCATCTGTATGTCTGATGACTTAACCCATTATTCAGCCTGCTTTCTGCTTTTTTTTTCGTTTAGTGTACTTACATTGGCATTTTTTGGAGGCAATGGATTAGAGAAGTTTGGATTGATATGGACATACATGAATTAATGGACATTAATCTTGATTGATGAATATGCGTTAAAACAAACGCAAATGGTGTTTATGTTACGACAATACTGTTTGGAAGAATATGAATTTATAAACAGAGCTGAACAGATATCAACTGTCGCTGGTATATTTATTTTGAAGCAGTCCTGCTCTCTAATTAAGTTCTTTTTTTAGTTATTTTCAATTGATATAAATCGTACTTTTTACGTTTGTATAAAAATGAATGCAAATGGACTAATGGATCCTATTTTAGACTTGTGTCATACAATAAGATATAATAAATCTATTAATCGATCCATGAATATTCTAGCAGTGGGTAGTTACAAACTACCCTATGGTTAGAGTGCATCGATTACATTGTTATTGGATAGAAATAAGCACGAAACAGGACGTCAATGCATTAGTAATGCCTCTTAATGATTTTATTCTACGTATAAACAATGGCTCCAATTAAAGTAATGACCAAGCAAGCATCAATTGCAGTAAGCGTCCGTTTATTGTTTTTATCAAAATCCCCCATGAAGACTAGCATATGAAGAACTAACACAATGTTCGCGAATTCTTCTGTAGCGGCTTAGAATGAATTGTTAATATAACACTCATGAATCGTGCTCGGAAGATACCTTTGATTCGCTTAAATAGAATATGCATGTGATAAGCCTAATTAAAACCAGAACCACTATCGGGCTTGAAAAATTTATTAAAACTACATAAAAGTTTACATAAATTACATAACTACAATAAACGTTAACTACTTCAACAAAGTACATCAACCCGTATGTTAATGAATTGCAACACTTAGATACAGGTAGCAATATAACTAATTGCAGCTGTTCAAAATTCCCATTTACTAAGCGCAAATGTTTAGAAACTAAATGAAGATCATGTACGCAAAATGTGTAATGCAAATGTAAGAAACCCCTTCTGCCCATATGAGGGACGGGAGGGTGGGAAAATCTTCGACGCTTATGCTTAAGCCGATTTTAATTGAAGCAAAATGGGCTCGAGCGCCCTAACACGCTGTCCAGCTTTAACGGCTGCCAGGCTCTAACTGCCAATTATTTTGAATTCACCACGTGAGCTGGCTGACCAATCGGGGGCCTGCGCCTTAAGCGTCCCTCTAGTGGTGGTTTTAAATACCATTCCCAAAGGGAAAGGGTACATCGAAGATACATTTGATTAGCTTAAACCGACGGACTCCCCCCCCCCTCCCCCCCCCTCCCCACCAACCCACTATTGCGGCGGGTATCAAAATAATTTACGCTACCTTCACGTGTGGTTTACCACGTTTCAGACTTTTTTTTTTTTTGCAGCTTAGTTCATCCCACACCTTTCTCTTTTTCTAGATATCAAAACAATAATAATCTTTCATTTTAAATTTCAGCCTTGCATATCTTCACGTCTTTTTATTCAATGCCAGGTGGAATGTATTCTATATTCATATGACATAAAACGCGAATTCCTATTTGATGTGGTGTCGCAACTGGCGTAGAGATACATCTGTAACAATATAAATGCAAATGTGAAACAAAATCGAACCTTTGGTAAAGTTTATCATGCACAAAGCATAATAACTTAGTTAATTATAATCAAAGGCCACATCAAAAGCATTTTCTTAAATTATTATAGGGGAATCTATTTTACTATAAAAATGAAAAGTGCCAACATCTCGCCAGTACATCAGGCCCGAACGTCCGTTTCATTGTGCTACAAATAGTTTAGAAATTATGAATTAAATTCATGGTATCCTTTTAAATTAACAATTATTGGATGTAACCACTGAAAGGGACACAAGACACGGGCTATTTACTATGTAGGAAATAAGCGCCTTAAATAAACTTTGAAATTATGAATGAAGGTGCCTCAAACGGGCTAATAAACCCAAACAAAAGACCTGTTTCTTATTTCTTACAGTTACGTTCGTTGCCTTTGGAGATCTTTTTCAACCGAAAATATATAGCTTTTGGCGGTTGTTTGTTTAATTGACCTGAGCAACAAATTACAGCCAAAGAATACGGATATCACACCTCGTACTTTTGTTTTATTTTTAGTTAAGTTTGTGTGAGCACCAATGAACAAACAGCTTCTACTGTCCTTGGGTGACAGATGACGTGTAGCAGTAATGTCCAAATATTTAATGAATCGATCATTGCCAACAAATTACGGAAATCACTCTTCCTTATGTTTTAACTTGATGCCAAGGTCGACTGCTAGTGACCTAAATGAATCACATTGCAGTCCAGCAGATGCGTAATTTACAGTATAACCTTATATAAAAAACATGCTGAAGTTAAAGGCATTTGTTACCTTTTCTTCACAAAGGTACTATATACTGAATTTTTACAACTCCCCCCCTCCAAAAAGAAACCCTGCTACAACGTCAATGAGCACATTTGCCCTTTTGTATTTTTAATGTGATATTATCTCATTACATGACAAAGTTTATTTCCTCATTATCTAAGCGCATGCGGAATAATCCTAACGTACCCAACAAATTAACTTAAAACGAATAAATTCTTGAATTCTAGCGCTCAAATACGACATTTTAATTTAAAGAAATGATCAGTACGTGTAAACAAATTATCATTAAACTGACTGAAAATAATATCATATTGTATAGTGGTATTATCTGTAAAAAAAAAGATTTTTTGGTAAAATTGCTGTCATGATTGTGACGGTTGCCAACTGAATGCATCCAAGCTTAATACATCCAATATAATATCCGTTGACCGCATGATGCGTTTAATGGAAAGAATGTCAACCACACTGATCAAAGGAGTAATTTTCTTTCTGATTGACCCATGTGTAGAGTGTGGCGGATTATCAATCTGCATGTCAGGTGCAAAAACCAATTACATGGTTAGTGTTTTAAATGTTAATTTATTCCCGGGGATGTACCTCTGCTGGGGTACATAGAGTCTTATATCACATTTTACTAAAACGATAAGTGAAAGTAGCGTAAGGAAGTTGCAACTATAGCAGTAGCAGTTGAATGTGAAGTCAGCAGAATGTGATGTCAGCGGAATCTGGTTAACACATGGGGCTTTTCCCGTATCTTCTTTGTGGCCGGTGGATTGTAGAAGTGCGCAATGCGGAGTAGTGCAGGAATTATATACTATAGCCTGCCGGAAGACTGCCAACAGGTAAAACTATTCACCATTATTTACAGGTAACACTCAGTTGAACACTACTCACAACACCAAACCAGCAGACAGTACACTACAACATGTACATGTATAAGGGCCGCTGTAGACTCAAGTCACCATTGCTATTTAATGATAATAAGAATGATCATGCAAACTAGAATTTCAAATTATGTAAGCATAGTTGAATTGCGGCAAATAATAAATCATTTCAACTATAGCAACTGTTGTTAAGTTTACATTGTGTGATCAATCACAGACATTATAGTTAAGGTAGAAAAAACTACATCACTCCTGTGTTGGCAGTTTGTGAGCTTGATCAGATATTCAAAATGAGTTTTATATTCGCATTTTCAGTAGTTTTGTCACCAAGCTTGTAATTTCTGTTATTATTATTATTATTGTTATTATTATCATTATTGTTTTTAGGTGCCAACTTGAGATTTTAATGATAGTCCTCTATAATATTTCATAATAACAGCGTTCAAAATGTAATATGTATTATATCGACCCTTTGATAAACGTGTAATTATATCACGAGTCACACACGTGAAATTATCATGAACCTGGGGTGAAATTAAGTCATGACTGGATATTACACCAAAGGCAGGTCGTAGTATCTATAGACATATGTCTGTGCGTGCGTTTCTACATCGGGACCACGTGACTCCAAATGTGGCAACGCGGTCACACCGTACCAACAATTGATTTGACAAAATCCATTGCGAATAATGAAATGCTTTGTGAACTGTAAGTGCCCGCTTAGTCTAACGTTTGAGATCTTGGATAAGTGCGATGTTTCTCTAACGCGCTTACATTAAGTATTAGGAAAAAGCAAAATATTTTCACGAGGAATAACTTTTAGCATGCTCAAAATATTTAAGATATTATTCCTTGTGGAATTCTGACAACATCAAACATCCAACAAGAGTGCAGTATACAATGTTCTTAACCATCATTTTACATTAAAGGTGAACTTAGGTGTTCGAAATTGATTGACACGCTGAGTGGAGCTACGGATAAATTACAATACACCCCAGAGACTGCGCGCCATCCGCACTGACTGTGTCGTACTACAGTGTAACATCCGCAAGAAGGACGAAGTACGTGACTGATCGAGGGACATCGTGTAACAGAAAAGGTGAGCAGCGAGGACCATTTGCTTAAAAAGACATTGTGATTAACGTACGGTCAGGTATTAGATTTTGTGGTGTAGTGAAATAACTTATTGTATCAAATCAAAATACCTTAAACACTTTTTTCTATCGTACTTTCTCATTACATCGCTGTGAGAATCATCAGCGAAGTTCTAGGTAAAGTAAATGGTCGACTATTGGCTTTCGCGATGTTCATTTGAAATAGTGAAATTACCAGTATTTATCCTGTGTAATATTATAGAGCATTTAACGAGAAATATGACACCCTATTAGATGTGGCAATGGACAAAACATGTATCAACAAAACAGAGCACTCTTATCATCGGAAAACGTTTGGCTCTCCGGGTTTGGTTCGATATCACTTTAGAAATATGACAAGGGCAGGGGGAAATTTCACATAAAAAGGTATTGTTTTAAGGCAACCACCACAAGATGCCCTTTTATTATCTTAGTAATTTATATGTTTAACAATTTTTATTCAAAGAAAAAGAAAGCGAGGCAATTCCATTTCGCATTTTATGCTCTCCCTAAGAAAAACACCTATTCAAAAGAGGGCAAGTGGTTTGAGTAAAGCAGCAGTACAGATCTACCGGAGGTAATGAAATGGTGACAGGCTATACATGTAGGTCCTTGGTAATGATATTATGGAGTTAGAGGTTGAATCCAAACCCAGATCCATTTTTCATTAGCCATTAAGATTTGTGCTCACGAAGAAACAGTGAAAGCTTGGCGCTTGCGTGAGGAATAAGGTCTTAACATCAAACAATGTTTCTACAGTTATCTTTCTGAAGTAAATGAAAAATTTTCTTGACTTCTTTTAATTCTGTGGCTGGGATTTTAATCTTAAAAGAGCATTTCTGCATTCAGGTTATTATTATTATTTTCTTAGAAAAAAATTTTAAAAAAGATACTCGACAGCGATCTTGTTGAGGAAGACAGCCGATCACAAGAAGAAAAACGTAGTAAAATTACATGACTGGTTTTTGGGTATATTGTGGTGACAATGCAAGTGTAATGAAGATAAAGATCAAAGCCCCTGGAATTAAGTCAGGTACGATTTGAACAGTGGAGAATGAACAGGGAAATATCGAAGAACGAATGATGGTTTAACCATAATTTTAATGTTTTTGTCAATATAGTGCACAGAGAAACATTACACCAAGAAACAGCAAATACATATCATCACAAAGCAAGCAAACTGCTTATATTTGCGTTTCCTATGTGAAGAATATTAGTTTTAAAACTTCATATTATCTAGACAGGAAAAGGTGGCGCTGCAAAATATTAAGCATAAATCTTGAAGCTTGGTTCTTAGACGTTTATTCCGAAAATCACAAAAGGATGGATGGAAATCGTAAATGTGTAAGTTCTGGTCGAATATGCAGTCTGAAAAATAATTTCCTGAATTTAAATACTTCATGAGTGCATAAGTACACTTGTCGACAACATAACAGCATATCTCGGAGATATCTTTTTTGCTCTGCCCCATTGTTATCTACGTCATAACATAATATCGGTATTTGATTATCCCATTTTAATACAAACAATCTCATAAATATTTGATGCACAAAACGACTCAGTTATTCAATCAATAGATTTTCCATATGGTCTGATCTTGATAAATAAAATTCGAACCTCTTAAATATAAATAAAATAGTTCACAGGATCTTCAACAATATTAAGGAATTTTTTTCATGGTAATTAGAATCAAGCAACCTCTTGAAACAACTATTGAAAGTTTCAATCTCAATGTATAAATTGGATAGAAAGGCTAATAAATGGACGTATATATAAATAAGAATTAAATGGATGAAATATGATAGACAAATGAAATAGGCAAGGGGGTAAACAGGTAATAAAGATCTGGTAAGTTGACATATATATTTTTTAATCTGAAAGAAAATGCACTCATCACACAAATGTCACCATGACTTTCTTATCTAGCACTTTAACTCTATCGCCATGCCGAGAAGCACTAATCATAAACATTTGGCCGATCATTTCATGTGCTCATTGATTATTACAGGATTTCTTATAACCCGTGTCAAGCTTCAGGCAGATTCTCGATATATTGATACATGTAAATACCGCCGTGATACATAGACCTCTAATGCAGCGGCAAAATTTACCACCTGAAATTGATTACCAATAAATTGAGCAAAGTGTGTCTACTTTACTTCTTTCATGTTTTCTGAATCTGGAACATTGTTATTGCCATTAACGCATGGAAGAATTGCCTAATGTTAACTGCAAAATACCGATTCACTGGACAACGAAATCTTTTTTCACATTCACTAGTCTAATATAACATTAACACTGTTTAATGATACCATGACATGATATGGGTTATAACGTGAATTGGTTTTATCATAATAACATAATTCACTATGAAACAGTTGAAGCGAGGTTTGCTGTTACCACTTTATGTCCGTCTTCCCTAGGGACTACATATACAACAGATACGTGCGTATACATGAAATATGCATCATAATCGCATATCTAGCCATAAGTACTGTCATGTCAGGTGCAGTTCACAGAACTGTTTACTTTTATTGCGCACAAACATGAAGGATTGATGAGCAATGAGATTATTGCGCTATTCGAGAGCCGCAGAGGAAACGTCCTGAAGTAAGTTATCGTATACGGTGCGGTGTAGGCCTACATTTTTACTGAGTAAGGTGCAACACCAAATAGCATGTCTCTGGTACATTTCAGTTTCGTAATTTTATCGTGATATATTCTGCATGGAAGGGAGACTTTTGAGATGACAGCCAGGGCCCCGAAAGCATCGCGATATCACCTAGAGGCTACAGTGTATTATACGGGGCGAGTATAGGCGAGTTATGGAATCGAGACGCTTGCGCTCGGTCGCAATGCGCGATGCTTTCGAGTTACAGGGCCCAGGTGGAAAGTTCCACGGCTATCAATTCATTGATTGTGTCATTATCAATTCATTCAAACCTGGCGTAGATAACCACTCCCTTATATAACATGTTCTCTGCCACAATGGGCGGATTTCATTGGCTGTAAGGAAATACGTCCCGATGACATATATACTGGTTAAATTACTTTTGAGAATTATCCTGGACTTGTATCGAAAAACAGCGCAAATATATCTCGCAAAAACTTCATTGCGTAGGGTATTTGTAAAATGTTGGCCACGTCATTGAATACTTATTAATATTTCGTTCTGGCCAAATATCATCCAACCTATGTAATGAATATATATTATTCATCACGTTAATGAACCCCACAATACCCGTTAGAAGATTTGCCTATATAATTGCAGTGGTGTGAAACCGTTCGCCGTACGATGAAACAACATGAAGTTTTTTAAAAAGAAGATGGTGGTTCTATAGGCCCTATTGCTATTTTGAAACGGCGTATTGCTTACGTTTTCGGAAATTAAATACAAATTTACAGAATGTTTTATATCGGTAATGTTGCTCCAAGAAGTGCACGGATTCCCACGCTAAGGATTAAGCTCTAAACACTGCAGTCTTAATGGATCTTCAAATTCAGAAGTGTTCTTAGTATTGGATTTCCTTAAAAATTTGTTGGCACTTCGATTATAATCATTGAAACTGTATCCTGCACTCAGTAATATGATCAATACCCTGTCCTTTGATTGCAGCTTTTACACAAATCCACTAATTGCGGAAATTCATGTTGTCCACCACCGGATTGAGGAAAATGAAGATTTGGACCATATTTCTCGTCTTCATAGGTGAGTGTCCTCCAAATGAAGATGCCTATGAAATGATGTAATAATCCATTGTTATTTCTTAAAGGTACACCGATAGTCCGAGACATACCATATACTCGTTAATAATGGAATACCATACCGATCTTAATTCTTAATCGAGTTCATAAGGTGCTAAAAAGTTGCAACAACAGACACACAGGCGTTGGCAGGGCAACTAGCCGTAACAGATGAATACACATTTAAATGGCGCGCCAATTACAAATACTAGTATAACAGATAACAGTAACCAAGGAGCTGTAAGCAATGTAAATATAAGTGGGTATAAGTTTTTTCACTATAAAATACATAGAGCAAAAAGGCACATAATTTTGTTTGTCTCTGATGTGCTTTCGTCATATTTAATTTCGATGTAGATACCTTTTGACCGACGTTTTTTACTGAAGACGGAATATTAAGAAAAATTGTAATGGCTCCATCTTGTTAGGATTTGGTCAACATGTCTTGTACTTCTAGAGTAATAACTATTGATCATGCGACGAAAAAGTGCCTTTGAAGGCCCCAAGCATGTGTGGCTAAGTCATTTGGAATGGCGGTATGTTAGTGAGATAAGGACACATGTTTAAAGTTGTCTTTTTTTTCCTTATAGGTTTGACCACAAAGGGTAATTGATATATCATTTGCTTTTTTCTAGCGGACACCTTTCATTCTTGACCTAAAATAGTTAATGTTTTTACCCCTGCTCAAGCTCCCCTGTATTATAGGCTTAATAGGGTTATGTATTTTAACGGATATTCTCGAGTTTACATGAAAACTTTGGTATAGGGTTTGCATGTGGGTTTGCTTTGTAGGAATAGACTTTCGCAAAGATTGTTTCGAGTGACAGCGTTGCTCTATAGGAAATCCAACAGTGAACTCCACGATGAACCACATTGCATTTATTTAACAAAATAATTAATGTGCCTCCAAAAGTACGCACTTCCCCTATTGTTTTGCAGCATCTGTTTTCTCTATTGTGTTCATCGATAATTCAGTCGGACATCGACAATCTGTTGCATGTTTCACTGCTTATTCATATTCTGTTTGTGGTTCTTTCATTTGTTATTAATTTATTAAAACCTGTGATTCTGGTTTTTGTTTTGCTTCTTGTCTTTAACATGCAGTGCCTTAATGTTTACACTTTTCATCTTATCATTTGGTTTTTAGTGCTGAATTTTTTCATTACTTGTAAGTTGACATTGCATAAGCATTTTACATTTTGATTGATACTCTAATTTCAATATCCACCTATCTATCCTTATGGTATAAGCATTATTATTTAGTATTCCATCCTATGAGTACAGGTCTTAATCAATTTGATATAAGCTTACCTGCATTGCAGAAAATTTACGTTGTAACACATCACAACGTACAAATGTGTTTTGTTTTGTGCTTCTAACGTCTAAAACAGTGAAAATTAAACACACTGCACATAATTTTAATGTCATTTTAACAGGAAGAATAAAAAGAAATTTAACTATTCAATTTTTGCTTAGTTGCCCCTTTTTTTACAGCATTCCCTGGCTTCTGTTTCCCTGCAGACATTGAGAGACAACTAGTTCAATCTCTGATGGTCAACTATGACGTGGACGTTCGACCAGTGGAGAACACGTCCGTGCCCATTGTGGTCAAGTTAGGCATGGCACTTAACCAAATTATTGATGTGGTAGGTGATGTGTACAGAACACCCTCCGGTATCATAAAACCGTTAATAGCTTGTACTTGGTGCCACTGATACAAAGAAATAGAGCTAATATATCAGACGGCATCTTGACTTAAGAGAACTTTTAGGAAGAACTTTTGGGATGCCTATATGGTTATCTCAACTATTTGAAATCCTTTTCATTCAAGATGAATAAAAAAGCTCAGCTGTGGTCTGAAACACTTTCTGTCCGAGAGAGAGTCCTGCTTGTATACGAAGCATAAGGATGATATACATTTTACATTTGTATTAGTACTGTAATTAAGGATAAGAAGTGAAGAAAAATTCGCCTGAAGCAGAGCAGCCTGCACTGTTTATGTACATGGTGCTTATAGAATCACTTAGCCAAATTGAATATAAATTTATGTATAATAATTTATTTGCGGGACGCCGATGTTTGCTTACTGAAAAATTCAGTAGTGCTTTAATTCTTGAGACATCAGAGGGTCCATCCAAAAAATGCCTGTATAATGTTTTTCAGCAGGGGGTCGACAATTAGGGGCTAGTACAAACAGCTAAATATATTCTAAATAGAAATTGCTATTTCGAAGTATTTTAAGGTATGCTCAAAAATAAAGTAAAATAGCAAGACTATTCTGCAGAATGATTTATTCTAACTTAATAAAATATTTTAGGACGAGGTGAACCAAATCATCGTATCCAGCGTCTGGTTCAGACTGGTGAGTACAGATTGATTTAAATATTTAACCTGGGCGTTACCCCTTCCCCCTACTCACCAATCAGCCCAATTCACACACACACACCAGAAAGGTGTAAACTATATAAAGATTAGTTTTGACAATGATATCATTGATAAGAGTATCTGGATTTAAAATTAAGGACTGTGCTATTTGGCGGTTTAAGTTATCGTTGATAGTGATTAAAACTATAATAACTGGGGGTTTCCCCTTTGTTTTGTCCTTTTCAAAGTGGCAGCAAGGGGACAACAAGTACCTTTTTATATATGGGCCTTTTGTGTGACAATGTTGCAGGGGTTGATCCCATTTCATTAATTGAATTCGAAGTTTCTTTTTTTAGCCACTTTCAAAAAGAATTTAACTCGAGACAGCTATTATTAGAATCGAAAATCTCGAAAACAAGTTTAAAAACGGTTATTTTCTCAAATAAGTTACACATTGGTCACAAAAGGCAAATTGCTGAAAAAAGAAAAAATCATCACTTGCTGTAGCATGCAGCATGAAACTCTTTTTAGGACTAGACATAACTCCTTGGCGAAATGATGTATGTCATACCTAGCCACACACCACCTAACTTTGATTTAAAGGGATAACAACTGTTCGAAAGATATCCATATTTCACAACATATACATTGTAAACAACTCATAGAAATATAATTTATTGTATTTTACTGCCAAAACGGCAGTTAACACAATTATTCTGGAATTTGTGCTTGCCATCACATCAACTGACCTCCATAGATGGCTATACTCTGTAATAATCTCTTAACAGAATATTGACAGTGAAAAAAACCTTTTAGGAAAAAACTCGGGACTAACTCTGAATGTGGGAATGGTTTCACTTACCATTGGTAAAATTGTCCTTTACCCCTGGAAAATCCATTTTTTTTTTTTTTGGTCGACATGAACAGTTGTTATCTTTTTAACATCTGCCATCGCTTGTTCCCATTCATTTATCAACACGGGCACTAATTCTCCTTGCATCAGAATCACACCTTACGTACATACTCATGGGGAAAGGAAATATTATACGCTACCTTTTTTTGTAATAAATGTTTCAGCAGTTATGACTTTGTCGCGGTCTCTTGTGTGTAATCAACCGGCGACTGCTCTAATTGCACGGTGATAATCATAGAATTGTGACATCAACCACTAATCGATTCATTACCTTAATAGCATATTAAATATGAAAATTAGAATAACTTTTACAAAAGATTAATGATATAGATAAGTGAAACGAACTAAAAACTGCCAAACCGAATTAACTTAATAAATTCGGTTGGGCAATTTTAAGTTCGTTTCACTTATCTTAACACAAAATATCAAAGTTTCTCTCCAGGTCTTTCGTTTCTAATATAGTATTTGCTCGTTTTTTAAACAAATGTTAAATAAGTGGGTCGTTTGCGTTTTGAGAAAATTGTGGACATATCAAATTTACAGAAAAGCTTAATGTTTTAGTGGAAAATGCAATAATCCGATCAGACAACTGCAATAAGATCCAAAAGCTTTGGTTTTTCTTAAAATGTTAGGATTCTTTCATTTAAGAGATGGAACGACTTCAAACTGCGATGGAATAGCAGCAGCTATGGTGGTCTTTCTAGTATCCGGATCTCATCTGGCAGAATATGGCGACCCGATTTAACTCTTTATACAGAGTAAGTAGTCTCAATGAAAAGTTCCCATTTTTACAGAAGAAACTTGTGCACCGCTTTAGCCTTAAACTTGGTATCAACATATAGACCAAAAGTTTGATCTACTGAAGTTCAAAAGATTATTCAATTATTAAAATCAGTCTGAAATATTATCCATGTTTTACTTGTTATAAGAACAGACGCAATGTTTCATTTTATTGGACGGCATTTTTGGCCAAAGTAGACTACAATTTTAATCAGTTTAGATAAATTTTTGGGCTTATGTACTTTTGTGAAACAGGGTCCCTGGAGCTTCTTGACGATGCTGCACTGGATAAAGTGCCGTGCTCTCTCTCTCTCTCTCTCTCTCTCTCTCTCTCTCTCTCTGGTTAAGTATTATATATTGTATTTTTCCTTCCAGCGTGAAAGAATCTGCGTCTACTTTCACACACTACAACGCTATTGTATCTGCAGACGGTAGCATCAGTTGGAATTTCCCCGCCATAGTTCGCAGCACGTGTAGTTTGAATGTTCGCTATTTTCCTTACGATGAACAGAGATGCCCTCTCAAATTTGGATCATGGACGTTTGATGGACTTCAGTTAGACTTAAAAAATCTGTCGATGTCAGGAGATTCGTCCACTTATGTCACAAACGGGGAGTGGGAATTGAAAGATATCCCTGTGGTCCGCAATGAGTTGTATTACAATTGTTGTCCGGAGCCCTACCCTGATGTCACATTCACAATCATAATCAGACGACAGTCACTCTTCTACCTTTTCAACTTGGTTCTACCTTGTGCACTGATTGTTGCAATAACGATCCTTGTTTTCTACCTTCCCCCAGAGTCTGGAGAGAAGGTATCACTTAGTGTGACAGTGCTGTTGGCACTAACAGTTTTTCTGCAGATTGTGGCACAAACCATGCCAGCACAGTCGGAGGTAGTACCGTTGATTGGTAAGTACTAACGTATTTAAATACCTCAATTGAACCTGATTGTGTTTGATGAGAGCTGGACAATGCCAAAAGCTGTTTATTCCCCAGATTGTGTTTAAACGCCAGTTGTGCTCAAATACTATATCGCGTTTGCAGTTAAATTTCAGACAGAGCTTCCGTATCATGTGGTCGACCGTGTGGTCTTAGTATACCATGTATATATATGTAGTTCTTATGTTTAGATACATATTTGTTCTTTACTGTTTACAGTTCCATCTAACCTTTACTAAATCTGATGCACCTTAACATTTCAACAGTGACATATAAATGAATGGCTCTGATCCAAGAAACGTATCTGCAGTATATAAATGATCTGAATTAAATATCTAAAGAAAATTATTAAGAAATTGTTAACCTAACTAAGACTCTTCAGTATGTTTTCAATTATCGATCTCGCCTTCTCACATGCTAACCATCATTTATCTATCAATATTAACAAATTTATTTCAATGCAGTTTTGTTTAACAATTAAATTTTAACCCCCTAGGTGAGTATTTTGGCGCGGCAATAGCCTTGCTCTCCGTCTCCACAGCCCTGACTGTGATTGTATTGAACCTACACTTTCGTGGCTCCCACAACAACGAAGTCCCTTACTGGATGAGGAAAGTCGTGCTAGAGTACATGGCTAAGCTACTTTTTATGACGGAGACAGTGAAAAGGAATGTATCAAGTCCCAAAAAGGTATGCTCACTGGTTTGAATAGTGATTAACATGGCCGATACAGAAAGAGGACGCGTGGGGAATATTCGTTAATTTTATCTGTATATAAAATCAAAATAAAATCTTATCGTCATTTTAAAATTCTTTTCTTTTTTACGGATTTATTTATTCGGTCATCAGAATTTGTTTCAAGAACATATGTAACTTAAAAGAAAGATAGATGTAGCCTACCTTAAAACAAAAATAATGAGGTCATATATTTATATTATAATATTTATATTATATTATATTATATTATTACGAAATGTTTTCGGTTTTAGGAGGAGACCCGCGTATATCCCTCCCATATACCACACCTGGCAAATGGCAAGAAAACTCCACACTATCCTAATACTTCAGTCAGAGATCTTCGTAAAGAACCCCTCGCTATCTTAGACTTGGAACCCCAGAACGACACCAACAGTCTGCTCCTCTCAATAAGCAAAACATTAGACAAATTTGAGGTGTATCTGGAGGAGAAAGAAGTCCAGGAGCAATGTGAGACAGATTGGCAGCTAGTGGCGAGAGTTGTGGACAGGTTTCTCTTAGTCGTGTTTTCTCTCATCACCCTGATCGTGTCTGTCACCATTTTTTCAAACCGACCAACTTACGACTAAGTGTGGTTTGGCCGTCCCGCTTTTTTAAGCTAAAACTTGGCCCGTATACAAATCATGAATATACGTGAAATGATTCTTATTTACTCTTACGCCAGGTAGTACCCTATAAAAACATTACGGGAAGCATATCATAGCAATATGGACTTATGGAAATGAATTTTAAAAAAGACCTAAGAAGAAAAAATCTAATACTAGTACATTTGTGAACATTGAACATTATGTATATGTAAAGCAGTCTGAAACTTTACAGGCTTTATATTAGCAGGCTATGTTTCGCCTGTACAATTTTTGTCTGTTTTTACGCCTATATCATGGCCATCGCGGTGTGTTAATCGTGCAGATACCATAATATTTGGAATTAGAGGGCATATACGTATAATTATTTTTTAGAGAACAAGTAGACTTAACTGTATCCATGGCGTCACCCACACTTACGTCCATTGCTTTTAGTAAGAAATCATGAAACAATTTTCAAACAAAAAAAAAATGCAATCGTTTTTACTTGCAGGTGGAATTTATTCGTTTTATAAGCATTTTGTTTATTGATACGTTTTTCATTATTAATCAAGTCCAGCATTTAGTTTAGAATCGTTCATCAATTTTTGCAGCACAAAGGGAAAACGTTTGAGCCTCGTTACGGAACTACAATGTACTTATATATATATATATATATATATATATATATATATATATATATATATATATATATATATATGCACGTGCACGATACTGGCATTGATATAAATACATTGACTGGCACTCAAGGTATTTCTCAAAAAGTATACATCTTACGTTTGGCCAGTATCTGTTAATTATATTATTGTTTAAACCACGCTTTTAACAGTGCTTTTACTATTGCTGATTTGAGGCATATTGGAAAATAAAGTGCGCATGTAGAATGATGAGTTCAACAGTTTGGCAAAAAAAGATGTCGGACATGTAGCAAGCAGAGTACTGTAGGTAGGGGACAAAAAACTGACTTGTTAAAAAATAAAGAAAATTTATTTTATTTATTTATTTATTGCTAAATAAATCGAGGGGGAAATTACGTCAAAATTTTATTATCTGAATTTAATTGAAAGATAATTCAATAACTTGAAAGATAAAATAATGTTCATTTTTTATCATTGCTTAAATTTCACCCATAAATTTCATCCTTTCCTTTCATTGTCCGTAAAATGTCTTTTCTATTGCCATCTATTTGTTTTTTCCACGATCAATTTAAAAAAATTTTTCATTTAAACACAATTAATTTAACATACTCGGATATTGATTATGCTATTTTAGCAGTAACGCCATGATTTTTCTTTCTTTGATATAAATATCATTACTTTATTATTTCTGTTATGCATCTCGATGGCCAATCGATATCATTGGCCATTTTCTGTCATGCAACGATGTTTGCTGTATCTGACCTTGAATTTTATGGGTTTTTACAAATGTATGCCTTTTTGTTACGCTATTTTTTCTCAAACGCGCTGTATTAAAGTTTACAGTAAAATAGGTTGGTACAAAAACTGGCCTTAAGATTCTGTTAGTGTAGCCAAATCAGATGGTCTTGGCGACTTGAAGTCTTGGCGAAGTCGGAAGAAAAGAATCCCATTTAATATCAAAGAGCATCCGAACAGAGCCCAGCCTGCAAACTGGAACATTATATTGTACAGTTATGTTTATCTAAATATGTTTTATTGTTTATACATGTTTGTAATTGTGACGCAATTCAAGAACAAGAACATAGACAGTTTCCTATATTCTGGTGTGTGTGTGTGTGTGTGTGTGTGTGTGTGTGTGTGTGTGTTGGAGAGAGAGAGAGATAGATACCTGGGCGAAGTTCGTTATGTCATAGAAATAAGATCCATCCACGTTAAGCCATTTGATATTCGTTTGAGTGCCGCGGCACCTGAAATTGAATAAAAAGGTTGACAATTTAAAAAAAGCTTGACAACTGAAAACACTGACAACAAAATCGGCCATGGGATGTTTACTATTAAATGCAAAGTTAAGGAGGGACAAACAGATTCATCAATAAAAGGACTCGTATATTGTTTGATTAATGGACGCCCGTGTATGAAAATTACGAAATAATTGGGGGGGGGGGGGGTAAAAGGGCCAATATGTAAAATAACGATTTTCAGAAAAAGAAAAGGGGTCTTTAAATCTGAAGGTATCAGAGGTACATGTACTTCTAGGGCCTACTCACGTCGGAGCGATGTTCCGTTTGGAGGTGATCTGTTTACAGAATGCAGCCAGTCCTGCGCTGATAACTATTGCACATGCCAATAGCAGTATAGTTTTTAAAACGCTCAACACAGCTGGTATCATGGTCACAATGTCCTGCCTAAAGTATTTTAAAAGTTCTGTAGACTTTTGCAACGGGTAGATTTACTTACAGAGTTAATACTTTTTGTTTTTATCAAAAATAGACATTTTATATATAACATAATATTCAAATAAAATACTAGCTGCGTCGTACAATATTGGGGATCCTCTTAGATCAGATTTGACATATTATACAACTAAGGTGCCGTGTATAAGATTTTCACTCACCCTTGTCTGCTCCTCGCTAGCACGGTATACATGCAATAGATAAACATGAACATTGCATTGACGGCGTTCAAGGCGGATATTATGGAGACAAAACTGCACGGTGTGTGAGTAGATGTCTTGGACACAAATCTAAACATCCACATATTATTTTCGTAACCCCACTTTCCAGAGGCAAACAGCAAACATAAGCCATTCCATTTTATCTGTATGATCCCTATTGAAAGGGAAACACTGGCGCTTCCTATGAAGACAAGGAAGTAAGTAACTGTAAGTAATATAAGCGTCACCCTAACCGCCATTTTGGCAGTTTTTCCGGGAGTATCTGCTCTTGTTGGATATACGGACCAATCATCGACTGACGAATGTAGTTCAGTGAGAGAAATTTATTGCTTTTTCCATTTTTCCTGGCATTTCTTGTGTGTTGCTAGGGTTAATTTTGGTGTCAACTAGCAGGCTAGGGTGTAAACTACGTAAATGTTTATGTACCAGGTAGGTTATTCCATTTTCAGCTTTGGCCGTAACAATATTTATTTATTGCAGTAGCAGAGATTGTTAGGGAGAGAACATGGATGTGTAATGTTGTTCAGAATGTTCAATTGCGGATTAGTACTAGTTACAACACAGGTCGCCCAAGGTATTTCTCAAGATATGGACATCTTAAGATTGGCCAGTAACTTTTAATTTTATTATTGTTTAAACCACGCTTTTAACAGTGCTTTTACTATTGTTGATTTGAGGCATATTGGAAAATAAAGTGCCCATGTTGAATGATGAGTTCAACAGTTTCGAAAAAAAAAGATGTCTGACATGTAGCAAGCGAAGTAGGTAGGGGACCAAAAACTGACTTTTTAAAAAATAAAGAAATACGTCAAATTTTTATTTTCTCAATTTAACTTGAAAGAGAAAATAATGTTCATTTTTTATCATTGCTTGAATAAATTTCACCCACTCATCCTTTCCTTTCATTGTCAATAAAATGTCTTTTCTATTGCCCACTATTTGTTTTTTCCACGATCAAATTAAAACAATTTTTCATTAAAACACAATTCATTTAACATACTCGGATATTAATATGCTATTTTAGCAGTAATGGCATGTTTTTTTTTCTTTGATATAAGTATTATTATTTCTTTTATGCATCTCGATGGCCAATCGAGATCATTGGCCATTTTCAGTCATGCACGATGTTTGCTGTATCTGATCTTGAATTTTATGGGTTTTTACAAATGTATGCCTTTTTGTTACGCTATTTTTTCTCAAACGCGCTGTATTAAAGTTTACAGTAAAATATTTCTAATAGAAATACGACTGGAGCGATAACACTAAAACTGAATAAATTCGTTAATCTTTTTTTAAATCTAGAATAAATAAAAATTACAGTAGATATACAAAATGAAATAAAAAAATTAATTTGAACTCTTGATCATCCCCATGACAAAAGCCAGTGGTTACAGAAAAAAATGTTTCCTTAATCACTTGAGTGGCAATAATGTGCGACAGAGCTACTATGCCTAAATTCAATTGCTTGAGATATTAACCTGCTTTATATTGCGAATTTAAAAAGCAATTATCGACGTTCTTCAGTTTTGAGGCATGTTTTAAGTAATGAAATTACTCTTGAAAATGATGTACACACTTTAGTTTTAAGTGAAAATGCCAGGATATTAAGCATGAATCTGTCGTATTCTGTGAAGTTACTGATTTTCTTGAGGAATAGAATTTTGAAGTTTACATGCACCACATTTCATTCACTTACATATAAAAACGTCCACAACATAGTCTTGGACCCTATTGCATAGGATACATAAAAATACATGAATCAAGCTTCATACCACCAGCTATTAGTCTGGTCCCACTGTGTCTTAATATGTTGGGCAAACATTAAAACATCACGGAAACATGTGACGAATATAAGATTCCAGAGCAACTATCCCTAGCAACGTAGGCCTACATGTATATGTCCAGATTTCTTTACCTATTTATAGAAAATTTTGGCGCCAAAAGTTATGCACAACCTATAGAAACATCGTTGCAATTAAGATCTCTCTCTTTGTCTCTCTTTTTTCTCATTCATTGACAATACACACACGCGGTTAAAGCATGTGATACTAAAATTCAACTGGCGATGCATGACCCAGCCCCTTTAAACATGACCTTCTAGCGTGAAGCCTGTGCACGGATATATAAGTATCTTGGATAACACATTGTAAACACATAGTCTTGAATATTTATGTGATGTAAATGTACGGAGTCCTGCATCTTATTTTGGTAGCTTTCTTGCTAGCCGTACTAGTTTTGCTCGAGGAAAGTTTAAGGAGAATTTTATTCTTATCTTCAATATTTGTGGCATGCACAGAGGTCTATTCTTCCTATGTTCTGTCCTTCCACCGTTGGAAGAGATTGATGTGTAACTCGACCTGCCCTAGAATTCACATTTCAATCTCATACTTATGAATGAATCCTTGATATCTTTCCTGCTACCTCGCCAGTTACGTCGGTATCAAAGCCGGTCTTCAGATTCAGTAAGCGTAGCCAAATCTTACTGTCTTGACGACTTGAGGTCTTGGCGAAGTCGGAAGAAAAGGATCCCATTTAATATCAAAGAGCATCCGAGCAGAGCCCAGCCTGCCCACTGAAATATTATATTGTACAGCTATGATAATATGTATAATTGTTTATATGTAATTGAAACGCTTAGCAATTTACAAGAATATAGACGATTTCTTAGGTTCTGGTGTGTGTGTGTGTGTGTGTGTGTGTGTGTGTGTGTGTGCGAGTGTGTGTTGGAGAGAGAGAGAGAGAGAGAGAGAGAGAGAGAGACCTGGGCGAAGTTCATTATATCATAGAAATTAGACCCATCCACGTCAATCCATTTGATATGTGTTTGAGCATCACGGCACCTGAAATTCAAAATTTAAAAAGAATATAAGAGACATATAATAAATAAGACCTTCAGTGCAAAGGTTGACAAGAAAACACACCACGACTCAATCACATGTTGAGCCTCAGCACTAATTGTGAAATAACATAATAAAAAAGAAAATAATTGTCAAAATTTTAAATTACGATAAAAAGGAAAAAAAAAGGTTTTCGTAACCTCTGATAAGTTATCAGGTAGGATTACTTACGTCGTGATCTTCCCTTTGGAGGTGATGTCTTCACAGAACATAGCTAGTCCCGCGCTGATAACAATCGCACAAGCTAACATCAGTGTTGTTGAAAATATGCTAAACACAGTCGGTGCCAGGTTCAAGATGTCCTTCCTACAACATTTAAATTATTTAGACGATGTTTTTGTAATGGATACGCAAAGAGTCCATACATTGTACACTATATTTTTATCAAATAGCATGCATGAAAATCTAGATTTTCCATAAATAAATAAAGTAGCGCGACGTACAAAAGTGCTCATCATTATAGATCATTAAATTTTACATGCAGTTATTATTGTGACTAGGTTTTTACTCACCCCTGTCTGCTTTTGGCCCGCAACGTATACATGCAATAGATAAACATGATCAACGCATGGAAAGAGATCAGAGCGCACGCAATGGAGACAAAATTACAAGGCGTGTGGGCGTACGTTTCGGAGGTGAATCCAAATACTAAACCTGTCCACTCCCCAGAGGCAAATAGAATGCATCTACCATTCCATATTATCTGTATGGTCCCTACAGAGACTGAAACACACGCGCTCCCTATGAATATGAGGAAATAAATAACTGTCAGTAATATAAGTGCCACTCTAACCGCCATTTTGTCTGTCTGTATTTTTTTTTAATTTTTTTTTTTTTTTTTGGGGGGGGGGTGCATGTTTACGGTAATGACTCATTTCAATGGGGGAAATTACCAATGCCTTAAATACATAATTTTCGAATCATAAAAAATCTGCCTTTATATTAAGCATTTCTAGTGTTTTTACTGTAGAACTACAGGGTAACCTGCTATCGCTCAGTTGAAATGTTCTAAATTTAATTAAGAATTTATGGCTTAAAAGTTACAGTAGGTTCATATGTAAAATTCACAAATTTTACATTCGAAATGATCGACTTATTACCGTTTTAGTTGGTCGGTGCAGTCACATGCAGAAATGTTCCACACCTAACACAAGTCTCAGTAGACAGTTGGACGATGTCGGAATTTATCTTATTTATTTTAACTTATTTATTTGTTGGTACTGCATGTAAGGATTTTTAACACATTTAAATCTTACATTTTTAATAAGTGCGACGCGTGGTGACATAAATTTAATATGCCTATGTGCGTAGATAGATTCGATGGTTTATAGGGAAAAAGTGAAATGAAAATAAAAAATAACTGATAGGTTAAATCAGTAGTTAACTGAGCATAATTTATTTCAGATGGGACCTGCGTAATCGACCAGAGAAACGTCACCTTATTTATTTTAGGTCATACTTGATTAATAATAATAATAATCTTTATTGAAATATGGCAATCCAAAGTTATATATATATATAATAAATTCTTCGACTTAAATAAATTTGATTAAAAAAATAAATAAAAAAAAAAAATATATATATATATATAAAAAAGTTATATATATAGTTATATATATATATATATATATATATATATATATATATATATATATATATTTTTTTTTTTTTATTTATTTTTTTAATCAAATTTATTTAAGTCGAAGAAGCCTGGTCATTTTTTGGCCCTGTTGCACACTATAGGATGTCGCTCTCGCCTCCCTGGGGAGGATAAAAATTAAACTGGCCTTCAATGCAGAACATCTTTTTTCTCTGAGAAATTACTTGACCAACTTTCTAAGGTCCACAAATAACAAGCACAACCATGCAATATAAGTGGAGTTTAAGTCTTGTTGGAAGCATTTTCTAAAGTCAAAAGAGCACATACTAAATACATGTATGTAGCTTTGTATTTTTGTTTGCTTAATTGGCGAATTCAATTAATGAACTGGTGTCACAATGACATCAAAGACATTATCAAAAGTTATTAAAACACGACTTCAATCCTTAGTTTGATTGATTAGTCATCAAAATAGGAAAAAAGTTATAAAAAATGATTTGGAAAAATATTCCATATTAAATGTCAAGTCTGTATTTTCCAGGAACGCTGATGGTTTTTAGCTTATTGCAGAAAAAGACGAAGCTGTTAAGTTGTTCACAAAGGCTTCGATCCTGAGAGGTCTCCCGGTATAGTTGCTAAAACCAAATTGGTGGTCACAAAGATGCTTTTAGGGGGCAATCTGCCCCTCATTTTTGAGGGTACGGGTTGTCGTTGTTTTTCTGTTTCGACATAACCGTAAAAGCAATAGGCCCATCTCCTGGTGATTGGCTTTGGATGCCCTGGGCGTGGCCTTCCGTGCGGATTCCTTGAAGATCGATTCGTTGTCTGTGTAGATCCCTACGGATTTTTGGCACCCATGTGGTCAGAATGAGGAAAGACACAAATTCAAATTCGTGCAAATGAGTCACCCTAAGTTTTGAACATCTTCACTATTGCCATGCCTCCTAAAACTACCAAAGGTGGAAGGAAAAGAGACCAACAAAAGTTCACCGAACAATTCCCGAACGGGAAATGCACGATGCCACCTATGATAATGCTACGGCCTACGGGCTTACGATTTTCAAAATATGTCAATGGTTTTAGCTTGACAGAATCATAGAGGCAACGGAGGATGTAAATCCGTACGATTCCGTATGATTTCTCACGGCCACCGTCTGCCTGCGCTCAGGCGCTACACGAAAAGAGTTTTAAGGACATCGCATGGCAAATGTAACCTACGCTCTGGTTAATCTCGGACCAACCCAAACAGAACTACCCAATGAAATAAGTACATATAACGTACAAAATGTATTCACGATCAAGGCAAAAGAAAAATGCTCCGACATAAAGGGAAAAACCTCTCTACCTAAGGCCTCTGATAAGAGTAGAATGTAGGTTTCATGTTTCATAATTTTCACAATCTGAGAGAGAGAGAGAGAGAGAGAGAGAGAGAGAAACAGGTCAAATAGAATTACGAGAATTTGGCTTGGATTTAGATATTCATGTCATTCTTAATCACTTATTATTTTGAAAGTGGAATCTTAGATATGTACATTGGCAATTGTGCGAGTGTTGAATTATACATTATAAAATTACAATATAACAGTATAATATATAACGCATTTAATACCAGTTGTTTATCAACAATCCACAGTAACTGTCTGAAAAGAATTACACTTAGAAGTGAGAAAACCACATTAAAATCAGTGATTTTCCCCAATTATATAGACCAAAAACTAGCAATTTACCTTGGACTTTGCGACTTCATACAAAAAAATATAAAAAACATGTATGTGGATTGAACAGTTAACAAAGCCGCCAACAGTTTATTTTTTATTATTTCTCATCAATTATCTGGGACATATGTTTCTTTCAAAATTCGGTTAATCTTAGATTTTTTGTCCAAAAGGAGTATTTCCCCTGAGGGCGCTACGAGGTTAATACGTTCAAGCATGTCAAAAAGTAAAAACATGCAAACTTCGTGCTTTTATTTACTATTAATTACACTATTATTTTACGCTTTACCACCCCACTAAAGTTGAAGACTTGGGTTTGTCTCCGTGCTAACATCAACTTGATCCTTATTGTGCTTGTTGAGAACAGCCCTTGCCAGGTGCCACCTATCCCCAATTTAAATTCACACGCCCGTTGTTCTAAAATACTATTTGTATTTGCAGTTCAATTCAAGACAATGCTTACATGTACATAAACTTTGCCATACGGCCGACCATACGGTGTTAGTAATACAATAAACAGAATATAGCAAATATAAATATATGTAGCTCTTATGATAAGATACACCTGTACATATTTGTTCTTCACTACTGACAGTTCTAGAGAAATCTTCAATTCTGGTTCTTCGGTAACTACTATTTCGGCCAGGTATGCCTACAGGTAGAGATATCTACACCGACATTTTCTTGACACCCCCTAAAGAGTATGTGTAGGACGCTTATCGGTAAATCCAGATTGCAATATTTACAAATTATGCTTCATATTTACATAGTAATCACACGATAAAAATAAGCACAGTTTTTCCGTGTAACACTGTTAGTAAACACTACTGACTACCAGTAGGTTCAACCAGCCTATTATTCAAAATGATATATCATATTATTAAGATACACTGTAGCACTGATTGGGGTACCTGTCTGGTCCCTTTTATAATAATCGGTATAATTCAGTCGGTATTTAATGAGGTGTATGAGACCTTCCTTGGTGATATATGTAGGCCTAGTATAAGGTAACCTTCCACTTCTACCCAGATATGCAGCATTTGATGCTGGCTCTGGTAAACCAAAACAAACGATTTCAAAGTTCGTGAAAATGATTTAGATTCTAGATCTCTCAATCACCTCTACTAGTACATACTTGGTAAATCCAAACTTCATGCACCATATAACAGTCAAAAGTATGAAGTTACAATATACGTAAGCCTCATCATTGACCTTGTAGTTGCTCAATGAACTTAGGATTTCGTCGTTCCGCAAAGATGCAGTCCAGTACATGTGTATTGATACCAACATGTCTACATACTAATGACATGACACAGTTTCATGTTTTTCAAATTTCAAATAAATGTTTGTATTTACATAAAGGTCCTGAATACCCACTACTAAACGCCTCGTTGACTTGTGTTTTCTTCGTTGTGTTGACCTTGATGACCCATTTATCACAAAAATAAGTCTTACTTAGCACATTCAAATGCTTGTGCAGGTGGACATCAGTATCAGATATATCAATAACGTTTTCTGCATAGAATAATTCCAGTAAAATTTGAAGTATGATAATAAATATATCTCATGCCATACCACATGCTTTACATGTAGATAATTTGCCGTGTGCATTACTTAACTGTTTCAAAAATACTGGTACATAATGGAAACCAATGAACTAACAATGCATCGATTGTCTGTACTGGTCCTATAGTGCACTCTAAAACAGGAAACCGAATAAAAAAGTGTACATGGCAATGATGAATGTAGAACATAATGTTCCAGTGGAAATACTGAAAAAAAAAGTGAGAGATACGTTTTCTAGGCATTCCCGCTGTCTTGCCAGTTAGGTTTGCATTAAAGCCCATGACGTTCGTCAGATTCTGTGAGTGTTGCCAAATCGGACGGTCTTGGCGACTTCAAATCTTGGCGAAGTCGAAAAAAGAGTATCCCATTTAATATCAATGAGCATCCAAACAGAGCCCAGCCTGCCAACTGAAATATAATATTATATGAATGTAATAAATTAATCTAAATACATGTCTTTTGTGTAAATTAATTATTTTTTTAACTGGATGAGACAAATTAAAAAAAGAGAGAGAGAGAAAGAGAGAGATATATACCTGAGCGAAGTTCGTTATATCATAGAAATTAGATCCATCAACAGTATGCCAGTTGATATTTGTTTGAGCATCACGGCACCTGGAAGTAAAATTCAAGACAAAAGACATACATGTATAAATAAGACATTCAATGCAAAGGTTGACAAATGGAAACACATTCCGACTCTATCCCTTCTGAATGTATCTATCATCGGGTAAAGCCCATCCTCAACATACTCAAAATCTACCCTCTTCCAGGGCCACAGATTGATTTTTCACTAGATATTAACAGATATGTCTCTGGTTTAATAGATGGCTAACCTCAGCATATATGTCCACAATAATAACTGCGGCCCTGGTAAAGGGTACTTAAAATCCCATTTTATAAAGATAGGTGACCACATTTTTCAGTCACTTTAAAGTTTTAGTGTTTATAACATGTACAACACGATTCTTCAGCTCTGTGCGGCATGCAAGAGCGTAGTTTTATCGAGGCGCAGCTCTTGTATGTCGCATACAGTGGATGATGTGTCTTTTTTAACCGACTTACACCACGCCTGGTGCTTCGTACAATAGGATGAACGCACCGAAGATTAAGAAAATACTGGTACAGGCAAGCCTGTATGCAAAATACAAGTCCAATTATCCTATTGTTAAAAAAAAAAAAAAAAACAGGCGTGGTAGGCCTATAAGGAAAGACAACAAAAACGGTTATTTGATCTGTACCTGTCACAGAGATCAGGAAGTTTAACAGTAAAATATAGGCCAAAGGAGGGACAAAAGAGTCAAATTTTAAATTACCATAACAAAGAAAAAATATACCATAACTTTTGAGTAACTCACGTTGGAGCGATGTTCCGGTTGGAGGTGATAGCTTCACAGAATACAGCCAGTCCTGCGCTGATAACTATCGCACATGCCAACAGTAGTATAGTTTTTAAAACGCTCAACACAGCTGGTATCAAGGTCACAATGTCCTGCCTAAAATATTTCATCAATTTTTATTTATTTATTTTATTTATTTATTTATTTTTATTATTATTTTTTTTTTTTTGTCGTAGGGTATATGTATATACAGATACGCTCATACATGTACTCTGAACACTTTATTTATCAAAAATAGATACTCCTGTGGTTATTCAAATAAAGTAACGCATGGATCATCGTGGTTAGGATTTCACATACAGTTACGGTGACGAGTTAAATATATTCACTCACCCTTGTCTACTCTTCGAAAGTAAAGTATACATGCAGTAGATAAACATGAGCATTGCATTTACAGCGCTCAAGGCGGATGTAATGGAGACAAAACTACACGGTGTGTGTGTAGACGTTTGGGAGACCCATCTAAATATCCAATGACCTTCGTGATACCACTTTCCAGAGGCAAACAGCAAACAACGCCCATTCCATTTTATCTGTGTGATCCCTATAGAAAGGGAAACACAGGCACTTCCTATGAAGACAAGGAAGTAAGTGACTGCAAGTAATATAAGTGTCACCCTAACCGCCATTTCGGGTCTTTTTCTGGGGGGCGTCTGTTCTTGTTGGATATACTAACAAAGTAAATGTTAATGTAGGTCAGCTAGGGTCGCAACTCTATTTATTGCAGTAGCGGAGATTGTTAGTGAGAGAACATGGATCTGTAATGTTGTTCAGAATGTTCAGTTGCGGGTAACGATTAGTATTAATTACAATACGAGTCGTCCATTGTATACGATATACAAGAGTATAATTATCGAGGCGCAGCCGAGATATTTGCACTCTTGTATGTCGCATACAGTGGACGGCAAGTAGTTGTAACTGCCTTATACCACGGCTGACCAGCCCTAAATAATTACTAAATCCCAAAACTGAAAGATGTGTGGTCAACATTTTTAAAGGTACATTAAATATTTGCGTGCGGTCTCAATTTGCGGTGCTCTTGTGTTATGGAGCCTTCGGCCCCGTAACTCGAAAGCATCGCGCATTGCGACCGAGCGCAAGCGTCCGTTGGACGCTACAAAAAAAAAAAAAAAAAACAAAAAAAAACGGAACGTTCAAGCATCGCCGAGGACGCTGTGTCTGCAATTGAAAGTGCTCTATGTGAACCAGCAATCTTATCGTGCACCCTAAATAGTTCCTAATGTGCCTCTATTAAATTATAGTCAAGTGGTTCCCAGATTATTCCTTTATTTGATGGGGTTCAGGTTTTCATCGATGACTACCATTGGTGTTTTGGCAGCAATGTAGTATCCAATCCAATCCAAATACTGACGCTGTCAATGACCCTAGTCACTTAAGACGCGGCACACGCTACGTCATAAGCCTTTTCAGGATGTCTGTAAACTCTGTTCTGACTAGTTGAGCAGTACAGGTGATATCTGACGTCAATAAAGAAAGCCACGTGGTTTCAGTGTTCTCCCCAGAAACGGTTACGCTCCTCAAATTCATTAGAGAAACAGACGACGACGTTTTGCTGTTTACAGTGGCTTCCTCAGAGGTCGTCTAGTATTTGAACTTGCTCAAATCTGTTTGGTGTTCGCTAAGAGCGTTGAAAAACGAGTACTGATGGCAATTTGCTCCTCATTCTGAACTGACTGGGTGTTTTTTGTTTAGTTGCAGCAGCATATACGGAAGGACAGTGAGTCCTGTACCCTGGTGGTAAGATTTCGATACATTGGGTGTGACCTCTGTGTAGGTACATTAGTCTGGGCATAACTATAAAACTGTGCGGACAGTTCCGTGTGACACAATAATGTGTCTGGCAATGTCTGTTTTTCGCGCCATTCTGGAACAGATTAACAATTTTGTAAAACACTGCTTAACTCATTTTATGCACTGCAAAACCGACCGCTTGGATGCTAAATTTCGAATTCTTCTATTATATGCAGTAGTTGCCGACATATGGATACTCTTTTGGCAGAATCATGCTTTGCCAAAGTCGAGCTTTGACCAGCCCATATGAGCACTATCCAATTGAATAACTGCATATTACACAATGCAGCAGTGCAACGTGGTAGTCAGGTAACTGGTAGCGACACGCCTGACTACACACTTCTTTTTATTTACATAGTTAATATCATGAGATCTGAATTTTTTGAAAAAAAAAAATAACGCATTTTTACCTAGGCATACCACTGAAACTGAAATATTCCATACTAAATGTCAAGTCTGCTTGAAAAATGAAATATTAAATAATTTTCCTTTCTATTTATTGCTTTAATGAACTTCAGTCACTCATTCTTCCCTTTTATTATCAGTAAAACGTCTTTTTTGCCTACTATTTGATTTTTTCTTTTTTTTTTCATAGATTTTTACAAATTTTTATTTAGCACAATTAAAGTAAAATACTTGGTATTGATAGGATGATATTTTATCAGTAATGACATATTTATATTTCTTTGTTATTATTATTATTATTTCATTTTCCACGCATTTTTGTGACGAAATTGGGGATCATGTTATCCCATGCATCCGTCAGTTTGTGCTTATGATTTTTTCACTGTCTCCACCTGGACCTTTAGAGGAAGATGAAACTATATGGGATTAATTGGCCTATCATTAGGATTGTTCATAGGCATTTAGAACTTTGGTGTGTCTAAGCCTAGGGTTGTTCCTGTTTGGGTGATTCCATTTTTATCCGCATTGAAATTTTGCCATATCTTCCAAGACCATTTGAGTGAAGAACTTGAACTTGGAAATTTCGAGATTGATAGACTCAGAGTTGCACATGGGTTCTACTGAATTTTAGTGACGTAGGGGTTTGGCCATCCCTGGAGGAGAAAATGATCCTTTTTTTTTTTTTTTTTTTTTTTTTTTGTTATTTCTGGTCTCATCTTAGAACGATAACAATAAAACCTGGAAATTTCGTAAAACATTTTAATTCAATCTCGAATTAATGAATAAATGTTCCAATAGACATACAAAATGAACAAACAAACAAACAAACAAACAAACAAACAAACAAACAAACAAACAAAAAAAATTATCATGCTATCAAGCCCATGGATACAAAATGGGAATGCATCTTCAATCATTAAAATCAAGTGTGCGACAGAGATACATTACTTCAACTGCTGGAGCTGTTTTAACCTTCTTTATAATGCAAATTTGTCGGCCAAGGTCTATCTATACGTATTTTTAAGCCATTACCACCGTGTTAAGTAATGGAATAACTATTGCAAATGACGTACACGTAGTGAAAATGAAAATACAAGGATTTTGGCATGTAACCGTCAGTGCTTCGCATGTACATTAAATAGTACATGTAATTATCGTCTCGATAATGTATCAATGCATTTGTACTAAATGTAATCTTATTCCTTTAAAATTCTAATTGTTTGAAAAATAGAAATTTGAACTTCAGGGCACTTTTATCCACCTTACATACATTAAATACCCATTTATTTACGTATAAGAACACCCGAAACAATATATACATTACAGTTAAATCAAATGCACAATCTACATGAAAGCCACACAACTCAAGCTTTATACTATCAGCTAGGGTAAAGGTCAGGTCATGGGCCTTCTGGGTCTATTGGGTCTTTTAAAAATATGTTGGGTAATAATCATATAGTGGTAAACATCACGGAAACACGTGAAATGGAACCTAAGGTAGCATCTCCTCTCAGACGTGAAAACTTCCTCTTCCACGATAGACCTAAAGGAACACATTATAAAAAGTAGCCTACTTTGTCTTCAATATTGGTTGAATTCACATTTCAGCCCCTTTAACATCTATGAAGCCTGGGGTTTATACCATTCCCTATCCTTTGCTGGCCTTTGGATTATGTAAGACGATCTTCTCGAATTGTGCTCTTGGTGAAGTCGGAAGAAAAGTACTCCACTTAATGTCAAAGAGCATACAAACAGAGCCCAGCTTGCGCACTGAAAAGAAATATTCAGTTATATCAATAAATTCAAATGTTTCATTTTATTTGTTATGACACAGAAATTAATGATACTTCTGCATCAATGAAAATAATAAATGCGACTTTTTAACATGTAGATGCGCCCTTAAAAAATGGGGTCATATCGATACTCCCCCGCACCGTTACTCCCCCTACCGTTACTCCCCGGCACTGTTACTCCCCCGCACCGATAATCCCCCTTACTAAATTTTTGTGTATTATGCACAACGATAGATCCCCGCATCGATACAGCCCCAGTAAAATTGCCGATGTAGGCGCACCGTTACTCGAATATCGGTGCGGGGATGTACCGGTGCGGGGACGCATAGGGAATGTTGCATTGGTCACAACTTGCATCGCATCATTCGCATGCATACACGTAGTCAGAACCTAACAAAATTTGTTCATACATACAATAACATAACATTGTAACGATGTTAACCTTTGTAAATAAAGGTTGGACCAATTGCAAGTCTTAAAATTGTATCGAAAAAGTATCAAAGACTCTAATGCCACATTCTGAGTCCATTTCTGGGAAATATAAGGCTGTAGCCAGTGTACTGTGTAGGGGGACATGTCTTATAGAAGAACCAATATGTTATATGACTGTAAAATAGATCTGATATATATTCCATGTTTGCAGACACTGTCATATGGTTTATATGCATGCAAGGTTAAGAGCATCTTTTTCATACATAAATAGCCAAAATTTTCTTACAGGTTTTTCTACTGAGAGAGAGAGAGAGAGAGAGAGAGAGAGAGAGAGAGAGATACCTGGGCGAAGTTCGTTATATCATAGAAATTAGATCCATCCCTGCCAATCCATTTGATATGTGTTTGAGCATCACGGCACCTGAAATTCAAAATTTTAAAGAATATAACAGGCATATAAATAAGACCTTCAGTGCAAATGTTGACATGAAAACACACCACAATTCCATCACATGTAAGGCCTTAGCCCAAATTGTGAAAAACCTTGGTAAAAATACAAAATAATTGTCAAAATTTTAAATTACGAAAAAAAGGAAAGTAAGGTTTTTGTAACCTCTAATAAATTATCAGGTAGGATTACTTACGTCGGATAGACGTTCCCTTTGGAGGTGATGTCTTCACAGAACACAGCTAGTCCTGCGCTGATCACAATCGCACAAGCTAACATCAGTGTTGTTGAAGATGTGCTAAACACAGTCGGTGCCAGGTTCGTGATGTCCTTCCTACAAAATTTTAATTATTTTGACGATTTTTTTGTAATACACAGAGAGTTCATACATTGTGCAGTTTATTTTCATCAAGATTACATGCATGTTAATCTAGATTTTATATAAAAAAAATTAAGTAGTGCGACGTACAAAAGTGCTCATCATTATAGCTCATTAAATTTTACATGCAGTTATTATTGTGACTAGGTTTTTACTCACCCCTGTCTGCTTTTGGCCCGCAACGTATACATGCAATAGATAAACATGATCAACGCATGGAAAGAGATCAGGGCGCATGCAATCGAGACAAAATTACAAGGCGTGTGTGCGTACGTTTCGGAGGTGAATATAAATAATGGACCTGTCCACTCCCCAGAGGCAAATAGAATGCATCTACCATTCCATATTATCTGTATGGTCCCAGAGATTGAAACACACGCGCTCCCTATGAATATGAGGAAATAAGTAACTGTCAGTAATATAAGCGTCACTCTAGCCGCCATTTTGCCTGTCTGTTTTTGCGCACGGTGAGCAATTTGGCGCGCGCCACTTGCGCTGCGCCAGATGCTCGCGCTCCTCAGCTCCCCGCAAACGCTGCACTCTTTGCTCAGCAGAGGTGCCTCCCGGCCTTCCCTTTCGGACGCACCGTGAAATGTGGGATCATGTGAATTAAGGAAACATTACATATTGATTTTTTTTCTGAAGGTAATGGAAAATGGTGACCACGTTAATCAATCAGACTAACTTTAACTGTGTACATTTTTGTTGACTTCGCTGGGGCTGCCATTTTTCTTTGTTTCCGGCTACAGGCACATGCGCATTGTTGGCATGACTTGAGCAATCGGCGCTTGCACCCCGCAGACGCTGAGCCATTTGCCTCAAGAGGCCAAAAATATCAAACACGTGAGATATTTTGCTCAGCTGCGCGAGAGGCAAAAATCTCACCAAAATACCCCCGCAAACGGTGAGAAAACGGCGCAGCGCAAGTGGCGCGCGCCAATTGCTCACCGGGTAACTTTCAATTTGTAGATGTATGATGAATTGGGGGGGGAGTAGTAATTAGTAAGTCCAACTTCTGTTTTTTTTTTTTTTCTTTCCACTTCAAGTAGGCCTATATGATGAATGTTAATGCATATTAAACTGGCTCTCATTGCCAATTTTTTTTTCACTGAGATATTAGTTCTCTAAATTTCTGAGATTTACAACCACAATCATGCAATATAAAAATGGGATTAAGTCTTGCTTCAATATTTTCTAAAGTCAATGGAACACATGTATATATAGTGAATTTTTTTGGGGAAAATAACATAAAATGTATTTTTCTGGTGTTGACTTCAATTTTCTCATTTTTGTTAGTATTATTTAGAAACTAGCCCTGGAAAATCCAAAACTGTTGTATATTTAACATTTATTTTATATTTTTATCACCATCATTGTTTTTAGAACAAGTTCTTTTATTTGATTAATTCAAATGGCTTTCAATCTTGAGGCAGTGATCCATTAAATTATTAAAAACTTTAATTCAAAGGTGGTTAATGAATACACTGGCATTGACTTGACCTGGATGGGAATGAACAGTTTGCAGTAAAATTCTGATAAGAAATGAAAATAGATTCAAAATGTCTTTTTTTTTAGAATTTCGCTCTAGCCTGATCTATTAACCTGTCCACCTCTCAAAGTGGACCGGTGTAACAAAACCGAGGGTCTTGCACAGACTCAGTTTCGTTAAACCGGCTCCCCTGACCTTATGGCTTATCATCATCTTTTAAATATTTAATAACTTCTGCACAGCTTTCCGATTACCACTGAGTCTAATAGGGGTCCACATTTAAGGACGTGGTATTTTATAACTCTTTCAAGAGATGTAGGATACTGCTCTAGAGCTCTGGATACAAATGAAGCTGCCTAATATTTTTCTAAATTCTAACATGAAATCATTTGGGGTCATGTACTGGCTTCTAACGATAAGCTTGTTTTTTGCGAACGTTATGATGATGAAAAAATTGATTACTTTAAATTTACTATGGGAAACAACCCCTGAGATGTGCTCCCAAGCTGGACACAACGACAGAGTCAGCGTGCAACTGACAATGACAAGCGTTGATATGTTTGAGGATCTGGGATCAAGAAAAATCAATGCAACCGACCCAAGACTATTGGAATACCTTCGCGATAAATGGATTTTTGCACCTTCCAGACGTCCATACAACTTGGACAATCCAGAAAAAGAACACATGTCTCAGATAGGGCAATCCCAGGTGGTTGATAAACTGTTGAAGCAGAGAAAGAATGGTTTTTTTGTTGAGGCTGGAGCATCCGATGGCGAGAAATTCTCGAACTCGCTATTTTTCGAGAGATTCCGAAACTGGAGCGGAGTCCTCGTAGAAGCGAACCCTTTAAGTTTTCATACATTGTCCAAGAAACACAGGTTTAGTAGTTTGTTCTGGACTACATCTTGTCCCACATTTAGCATGAAAAAGTAACACTTTAAGCATTTTCATTTGCGATGTGTGATCACGTCATTGAGAAATACGGTTTGTTGAGAGAAAGCGAGAGCATAATTATGGTTAGTCAATTTATTGCTAAATTTACACACTGATTTTCCTTTAATTTAGGAAAGCGTTTACCATAAACTCGTGCCTGTCACTGAGCCCGCACCCAGATCGTGTAGAATTTACAATGGCCAGTAGCCTAGGCGGTATTACCCAAGAGGCCTACAACATTCCATCAAGTGAGGTAAGTCTCATTAGTGGCAGAAGCTTGGTGCAGTGTTTCTCAATACACTCCATTCTGGGCGCGCTTTGTGTCAACCACGTGGACTACTTTTCTTTGGACGTCGAGGGGGCTGAGGTGGAGATTCTCCGGACGTTCCCCTGGAAAGACATCACGGTGGACATATGGTCAATTGAATACGCGGTTCATGGAGGGGGGAAAGACACTCCTAAGCGTCTACTAGCTATCAGGGATATTTTCCAGAAGACCGGTGCGTACGAAGAGATAGGTTTGGAAAAAAGGCAGGATGTGCTATTTGCTCGAAAAGAGATACTGTAATGATGACATTCCAGAAAGATTGCACAGGCAGATTGCAATCAAATTTTATTTTTATTTTACCATGGTCTTTTATTATATATATATATATATATATATATATATATATATATATATATATATATATATTATTAAGGCTTTTATTATACCCATGGTCATGGATATATTATATTATTAAGGCTTTTATTATACCCATGGTCAATTTTTTGACTCAGATACAGCATATCTGGTATACTAGTATAACAACCCAGTTTAGACTGGATTTTAGGCATCATCATGTTGAAAATCCCATGTTAACTTGCATGGTTATTTTACATATTTGGTAAATATCAAAATTTGAACAATTCAATAAGTAAAACAGTTGTAACAAACACTCAAAATAAAAATAAATGTCCAGCATATCTGCATGAAATAAAAAATAAATATCTTCATAAATGTTGAACAACAGGAAACCGTGCAGAATGAAAATTTACAGTCTCGAATAAATCAGTACTATTGCATTTATTTGATATACTTCCTTAGGTGAGTCATGAGAATGGTTCAGCAGGCCTTGTCAGTGAATTCTGATTTATTTCATAGAGGTAAGGCATCGCCTGTCAGGTAGCATTTTCTGTTATACAAGTTAATGTTTGATGATTCTGCTGGTGTATAAAAGACTGCGGACAAGGAAACTAATATTAATATTATCATATAAGAAAAGAAAATTGCTTGGTTTTGTCCCGTTTTGTTCGATATCCTATTTTTTATTTATACAAAAGGGGGTAGGTGTGGTATGTGGCTGGTGTGATATCTGAAAGTCTATGAGATTCTGCAGTGCATATATACTACTGCATTCAGATACAGATAGATGAATAATGCATTGTAATGTACACATTGCTCTAATACGGCTTATATAGAGAAAATATGATATAAAAAATATGAAAATTATACAAACCCGAATAGCCAAGCCATCATACTTCAGTGCTTTAAAGATTCATATCAAGCACATTATTGGCGCCATAAAATGTCACCATACTGTTGCCTTTGCAATGGTGGTAATTCTGACGAATTCAATCAAAAGGTGGAAGGTGTGAGGGTCTTTAGGCAAAAACTGTTCTAGAAAAGTCCTCAGTGAATGATATTAAGCGATTTTGGAGTCTGCCTCTGGACATTTGGCTTCAATGGAACCAATGGGCAGACAGCGTTAGTACAAAATGCTTCTCACACATGAACTGCAGCCACGGTTTTTTTTTAATATTCTAGAAGCAAAATTGATAAATTTTTGCATAAAAATCTGCGAACTTTAATCTTAATGTGGAAACTAGAAGACTAGAGAGACTAGAAGAAGACTAGAAGGGGAAGAGCAAGCAACTCTGGATTGAAGTTTGGTTTTGATCATGCTTGTACCATGTAACTTTTAGTTTAGCAACATATACTCTGTTGAAGTTACAACATGCAGTCGTTTAATTCTATTCCATGTGCAGAGTTTAAGACATAGAACCTGGGAATCTCCGTAGCAGTTTTACAGATCGGGTTTTATTCCCTACAAAGGGTTGTTTAATGTAGTGTGGGTTGGGTTTTAATAAAAAGGTCCCGCACATGTAATGCTGGTACCACAATGGACTCGACTTATTTTTGTCTATTGGCCATTCTCCTCGTTCAGTACCTACGTTGAAATAGTCTCTGGAAAGACGGGTGAAATGCCGGTGTCATGTACCATAAAGTCCCCGGTGACAGAGAGTCCGCTTCCCATTACTTTGTACAGGTGAGCCTCGCCCTTGATTTTGACCCAATTAGGTCAGACTAACCCTAACTATTATAACTATATGGAGGGCGGACTTTCTGTCACACGGACCCAATTTCGTGGCACCGGCTCCATTATTCTGCGGCAATGGCTCTCGCAGCTTTTTCTTCTAGAAACATTGAACAAACTGTGGTTAATCCAGGCGATGGTGGTACGCGGTTTACCTGTGGATCGACCATGGAGCCCCTACCCACTAAAGAATTCTTATTACAGTTCTTCTGAATACACTAAGACCTTGGTAATTTCTGCGCAACCACCTGATTCTTTAAACCAAGGAGTTATAACTCCTTGTTTAAACAAATGTCCATCCGTCCTGGCATGCAGAAGCACCTCTCTGACTTAAATTGGCTCAAAATGCTTCATGACCTTTGTTTTATGACACGCCGAGTGTGACAGTTGAGACAGACTATATATATGTATAACACTGAAAAACTCAGTTAAAACAAAGCAGTTGACACGACCTACATGTTTCCTCAAATACAAAACCATAATAATAATAATAATAATAATAATAATAATTATTATTATTATTATTATAATTATTATTATCACATGTGTACATACTTACAGTACATCAATTTTCTCGAATTTTTGTAAACGCAAATAAAAATATTTTTTATTTTCTAAATTTTAAACTATTCATAAGTGAACATTGGTAAGATTTTTCTGGTTGAAGATTAAACTACTATATACGTAACACAAGTATGATTAAATTATTTGTTTAATTACATTTCAGCTCCTCTTTTATCTGCATTAAAGATAAAGGTTGGGTTAAAAATACCCCAATCAAAACAACTAAACCGTTGCGTAAATATCTTAAAAAATGGACTTAAAAGATACATAATGAACCCTAGACTTATATTTAGTTAATTTGGCAATTCTATGGCCCTTTGCTTAATTTTTTTAGATTAACCAACTTTAAAAGGACCCTCAAAATACCTCAAAATATTCAATTCATGACCTATGAATTTAGAACCAAACATACATGTAGCTTGCCGGTGAAACTTTATCGGTCCCTCATCTCCTGGTGCTCATTGTGATGAACCCCGTTACCTCAGAAATTAAATTAGGCATCCAATACAGAATTTTTGCGCCAGTCTAATTTTATTTAAGAAAAAAAAAATTCTCTTCCTCTCACGAATCATTGCTCGCATCATGTGCACATTTATGGTATTATCTATTTCCCATGTAGCAGCCGGCAGGGAGAACATAAACTCTTTTAGTGTACAAAAGGTTTATTCCTATATTCTTAATCTTACAATCATTAAACTCTACCTTTTATCCTCTCGTGTCACATTCCATTAGCGTGAAGTGTTAAACAGATTCTCTGGTTTTTGCACAACACTCCATTCTAAACAATTCGTCGATCTATGAACTTTTCCTTATTTGGTGATGATGTGATGATTGACATAAGTCCACAGTTTCTATTAAGACAGATTTTCCATCATCTCATCATAGAGGAGTGACGATTAATACTGATTTTCCATCGTGTCATCATAAAAGAATGATAACTAAATTGTTCTTGTTGCTATCTGTAACTTTCTGTTCATTGTACTTTATGACTCTTTTCTCTGCTCTCTCTCTCTGGCTCACTGACATGTAAAATTCACATTTTCTTTGACTGTAAAATCAATTCTTTAAGTTAACAACATAATATTGATCAATTTTCATTACGATACATTCGTTTTGTACAGTGTTTAATTTAATAATTTACCTGTTAATGGTTCATGAGTCACGTGAACCTTCAAGTTTTCTGACATTTCAGAAGAAATAATCGACACCATGCATGTCTTTTTTATTTGAGGGGTTTTTACATAGATTTATATGTCTCTTTTTTAACGAAACTAATAATGAGGCTGCACAAGTTTAGATATGATTGAACAAGGATCCATTAAATTGCGGTAAGTTATGGGAAAACCAATATGTTGCTGACACCAGGTAAGGTGGATTTAAAATCTTCATGCTTCAGTATATTGGGCCTGGGTTGGACTTGCGAAATATTCACTTAGTTCTTGTTTAATCAACCCATTTATATTATTTCATCGAAATTATCGACTGAAGATAAGTGATACACATATACGTGTATGCAGAAATTATTATCGCGAGCCTTAAATAGCATCAAATTCCACGCTAATTAATTTCGTTTCAAATGAAGATATTTCCGTCTCTGAATCACATTCAGTATAATTACCTGATCTCCGAAATGATTTGTTATGCAAGTAATTCCACTGAGACAGCCATGCCACTAACTAGATAGTTGATCCCAATTATCAGTAGTATTGTTATTGTAATATTGAAGAAGGCCGGTTACTATCTGTATTGGTAAATTACTCTGTCTAAATGGTTGCTCAATGTGTTATCAGTCAACTAATTTATTCTCAAATTCTTTATGATTTTGAAGGTGCGCGAAAACCTTTATGTTTGACTCCAGGCAAGAATTAGAGATAAAAAGAACAATTTCCGATCACAATCACATCATGGCACAGGACAAAAGAAACGTGTGTTTAGAAACCCACCGTGGAAACAATGGTTATGAAAGGTTTATACAACGATATCGTATGGATCTATCTGCACGGAGTGATAACAGCCCTGCCTGGGATGTAGAAGAGGCTAATGAGACCCCTAGACTCGATCCTGTCCTCAGATTACCAGAACTTCCTTTCATAATTCAGGACGTTTATCTCTAAAATCATGGGTTGCATAACAGTATAAAATTCAGAATGCATTTTTGTTATATTTATCATCCACGTTTAATTTTATTTTTTCGCGGAAACAAGTGCAAGTTTGTAAAAAAATATCCATTCACTTTTTAGGGTCTTTAAGTAAATATGCAATTCATTTGCTATATAAGTGTCATTAAAGGAAAAGGTTTTGAAGGTCCTCAGTACCATATATAAAAATTATATTATTTCTTTAAAGAATGGACGAAATCTCTTGGCGGAGGGATGGTCTTGCAAAATTTGACTTGTAACTTAAACACATCCGTGCGCCATATAAAATGTTTTTGCGGTGATTATCATTCGGGACCTTCGGAATCTTCTGCACAAACATTTTTCTGTTTTTGTCGAATATACATACCAGAGCCGCGTTTAACAAAACAATAATTAGACTGAAGGGACCTTGGCATTTACTATACTACGGCATAAATCGGCGGTAGTCTGCTTGAACTAGGGTCCATCAAACTGCTGTAAGTTAGTTTTAAGAATCCTAGACTTAAACAAGGACACGGTCCTAGATATTTTATGCATGTTTCACAAGCATAAGACCATGCAATTTCTGGTTGAGGGAAAATTACTTTGATTCGGCGAACTACTACAGATTTTACCTTAATGGTGTGAAATTACACGCCCTGTCTTTTAGTTTTTTTTAACAGATTTATTTCTATAATAAAGATATACAAAATAAATAAATTGTCTTTTAGTTAGGCCCTTGTTTGACTACAGTAGTTTTGTGACACGCGACACAGATGCACGCTCGGCGTGATATTGTAAATGTGTCCACCATCCTGCTCGCTACAATATGGTTGATGTTGTCTGATGTAAAAGAAGCAAATCTACTTAATATCTTCTCTCCCCCATCTCATCACTTCGTGCACTCATGCGCTCAAACAAAAAGAAATAAGAAATGCCAGTGTAAAGTACAGTTTTAGCCAAGGACTTGTAATGGGCTTACCCACCAAAGAAAAATTTTGCTTGGTGCATTTTCATTTTACATCCATTTCATAGATTTTGGGACGAAAACTCGAGTACAAACTGAACGTAATTTAGGCGTGTGTTAAATTCAAACTACCATATCTCTTTGACTCGTATCCTGTCTTTGACGCTTCTTTAGAAAAGAACGTTAGCCTGGGAATAGGTCTTAACTATTTTTAGGGCTGGGTCTATTTCAGTTCAAAATAAATCAATAGTACATTGTAGCCCCCTTTGATCAACAGAATTGGTGCAATGTTTGATTTAGTTGTGCTACTGCTGATCTAATTTAGGTCAAATGAGACTAAAATGTATGAAAATTAAAGACTTTTCGAGTTAAACGTTTTTGTGTGTGTGTGTGCGTGTGCGTGTGTGTGTTTGTGTATGTGTGTGAAAGATTTACTGAAATCCTGCTCTCTGCTACTGAATCGTGTATCATATGTAAAAGGTTATTGGCGAGTGCAAACGCTTCAAACGATAAAATATTATGGAAAAAAAACAAGCTTGCTGTAATGTCGGTGCGTGAGTTTCTATTTCCATCAACTCATGCAAAAATTTCACCTCATGCAAATACTCGTTCCAACACAAATACACACATGTGCAGACGCAAGAGATCCCGTTATTAATTGCCCCTACAACACACACACACGCGCGCACGCTGTAGTAATTTCTGTCCATTCTGTCCAGTGCAGTGTATTCCTCATACATGTGTGAGTCAAATTAGACGTCTGTTAACTGCACCCTTTCTCGGACCAACATTTTTGCCCAATCCAACGGTGACATTACTAATCTTTCCTGGTTAGATAATCTAGGAATCAAGTACGGTTGCATGTCAAAATGAAGCCTCTAATACTGGGATCATGCATTCTCTTGACGCGTGCGGAATCTTCAATTATATAGATCTGTTCCATCTGTGACTCATACCTGTACACCTGTAAGAATATCATTAAATTACCTTCAATTCTAATAACTATTATCATCTCAACAATAATGGTCTCATTAACGTGTTTAACAGTAACGTATGGTCGTTCCATCTATTGCGCGTTTCGAGAAAGAGGGGAGGCTGGGAAATTTTTGTTACTGTGGCGAATACTCAGAGAACGGAGTCGATAGAATCATAATTCTGCACATAAGTTATGTCACTTTTGGAATGATATTTGTTTTCAAGGCGGATTCAAAGGATTTGTAGGTCTAGTTCGTAAAACTTATAAAAAGGTATACTTCAATCTATTTTTTCTTGTTTTTCATGCATGTAAATATTATATGTACATATCCAACATAACGGTCAAAGTTTAATAAAATTTATAATACATATAAAAGGAACATTTCCCATATTCTACCAACCGGTGTAGAGAGGTGCTACATGTACCACGAAGACTAATGAGTTCTCACTCAGTTATCGCAATTCAAGCTTGGAAAAATAATTCGTATTATTTTCCAAGGTTCAAGCTATTGCTTTTCTCTTTTTCCTTTTTAGCTAAATGTATGACGGTCTGGTGCTTGTTACCAACGACACCTCCGTATGCCCATTTTTCTCTTTCTTTCTTTCCGTCATTTAATTTTCATTTAAATTTTTTTATGTAATGTCATTTATGTAACCATGTTGCATAAATTCACCGTCCTTTAAATTGATGGTCTTATTGGTGATGTCACTGTCTACATGTGCTATTTACATAATTTATGCATCGAGACGTTATCTCTGCGGCGTGCTGGAGGAAGTTTGACACCGACTCACGACTTTATCACTTCTCTCAGATCACAGTAAAACCACCATGGAAATCCATCACTACCTGTGTAAGGAAAAAGTAATTGAACATTTCACCTGAGGTTTGCGTCTCTAATGCCATCCCTGGCCTCTAATAAAAATTCCCACATGTTATGTACAGAAAGTTATACTGGTTCATCTATATTTGTGGACATTTAATTTAAAAAGATAAAAAAAAAGTGTATGCCTCACAGGTTCCTATTTCCATATATCTGTTACTAATCGTGTGATAAATGCAAATGTTTTCTTACCTTCACTATAGTTTAGAATATGTCATTACTTAATACATATAAGGTAATAGCCTTTTTAAAATGTGCTAGAACCAAAAGAGATTATTATAATTTTCGTCCTAAATGTTTTGTCATTTCCTGTGCTAAATGCTGCCCAATTAAACAATTTCGCTATCAACCCTCACCCTTACTTTGTTTACGGTATATAAACCAAGAAAGTTATTTTGTTATTAAAGGGCATACTTAAGAGACCCATTTTTGCTTATTATCGTCAATTACATTTGTAGATATAAAGGAAATATAGTGTTGACAATTTGTGGTTCTTTTTATCTTGTGTTGTTATTTTTTTAAAGCATCTCAAGAAAAATATCTTGAGAAGAGGCGTTGTCACGCACTCTCCGTTCGTCATCATAGGGATTCAGCTTCCTTATTATTCCTCATCTCCATGAAATTAATGATTATCATTAGCGAATTCCGTGTCGTTTACATCAGCAAGACCATGTGCACCGTAGAGCTTTATTTTGAAGAGAGATATATACATGCGGTTTACCATTTTAGAAAATGCATGCAATGTAAAAATGCATAATATCTATTCTAAACCCCATTCGTTTTTTTTTTTCGAAATAGGTGACACGTTATTAATCTGCATCTATATGTTTAAGCGTACAGATGTTTTTGTGTTCCCCTTTTTCATATAACTGAGGAAGATTTTGGCTTGTTTTCTAATAAAAAGTTTAATACTCCCATCGTTTTCCTTAAATGTGAAATAATATATGTAACGCGAATAAAATCTGTGTTACTAAAAGGAATGTAAAAAAAAAAATATATATATATATATGTATATATATATATATATATATATATATATATATATATATATATATATAAAATGAAAAGACAGGAAAACCCTCTGTCAATTATTAGCCTTCGCACCACCAAGTCCTGTGTCTTTGAGACGCTCTGTTAACTCCAAGACACCTTTGCCGTGGCGATCTTCTCAACTAGTCACGGCTTTTGCTGATAATCTAAATATAATCGTCCGATCATTAGATTCGGCTGTCAAAACAGGTTGAGGGGAGTCTAAAATTATGCGTCTTCCAATGTAATAATCTCGACTATATTCTTATCTAGCATATATGAATACTGATCAGATACGCGGCAACTTAAGTTTTGGCGTTTTGAACTCATTATCACACACTTCAAATCTAAAGAAAATTACACTGTGTCGCCCCGCTATCACCACCACCACGGAAAAGAGATAACAAGAATATAAATCGTCGCCCGTCTTTTCATGCTGCAGTCTGGTCGGTGGAGTAGAAGCAGAAGGAGCGGGCCTCCGTTTTCACACCACAATATCAACCTCGGAGCAACCGGCGGGTTCGTTTGCTCGAGGATTTATAGGACTTTCGAATACAATATCTTGTAACTTGGTAACTTTTCGCTGTCACACAAATACTCTTAAATAGCAAAGATCAAGTACAAGGGAAGTAAAGAAGACTGAAAAGAGAGACAAAAAAACAGAGTTCAGCGTGTTGCTTCAAAGTTACAGAATGCATTTTTCGGCGTTAAGGCAGACGCTTGCCTTAGCGGTCGTTGCCGTTGTGGTCCAGCAAACCCGAGGGGAGGCATGTAAGTTATGAAATTTTTTATTATTATGCATTTTTTTTACTGTGGAACTCTTTAAGTTATTATACTTCATTTGAGCTCATCTTTTGTTTAATTTTTTTTTTTTTTTTTTTTGACAATGACTGTTGTCGAACGCTCCTATATTTAACCCGTAATTTTAGAAAGAAAAACAATCTAAAGATTCATGTATTGTATATGAAGATAGCCTGCAGTATCATTCTGTCACTTCAATGATTCTATTCCGGAATTATTTCACCTGAAGTAAATAATGAAATAACTCATTAGTATAATGCATTTTTACTATGGTATTTCTTAAGTTATTATACTTCATATGATGTCGTTTTTTGTTAAATTTTTATTTGACAACGACTATTGTCGCGCGCCACTATATACGTGTATTTGCTTTTTTATAAATCATTATTATTGGTGTCGCACCCTTGTTTTTACTCTACATGCTTCCATTGTGACGGATGGAAATTCTAAAGATATAATTATAGTATATTCAGCGTGTGTATTTTATTATTTTTTAATTCGGTAATTACTATATTTTAAAAGATACGGCACTATTGATGATATGTTATTTTTATCATCTTCACTACCATTATAATCTTTGCTTATTTTGAAAGTATACGGCTACAAGAGTAGTTGACTATTAAGATAAACTATCTGGGCGTTTTGACTTATTTTTCCAAGTCAGCAATGTTTATATTTCGTGTCGGTTTTGTCGCAAAATCTTTTCACTTAACATGAAAAAAGAAAAAAAAACGTTTAACACAGTATTCATCAGGTGTACACATATATAAAACGGAAATTATTTTTTCTTTTCTTTTCTAAAATTTAAGATGTATTAACTAAAATAGCCTCATTTTATTTGAGGATAACTAATGGAGGTGACTACTACAATTGATACGCATAACCATCAGAACAATAATCTGTAAATGTAGATTGACCATTTCAAACGTTTCAGTTTTTTTTTTTTTTGGTCATTCCCATGCTTTCTTTAATCTAGCTGAAAAGAGTAATGAAACAAAGGCCATTTCCCAATATTTTTACGTTTTCGTCTTGGAAATTAGACAATTAAATGTATATCGCATTTGCTGTTATAAACGAATTAGCATGAAGTGGGTGCTTTTCAGGTGACTTACTTAATGAACAAAAAAGTTAATTCAAAACCAAACTGCAGTTGTCTTAACGAAAACGATTTTTTGAAACATGCATTTATTTATTCATTTTGGAGATACTAAGTATTATCAAAACATTCTTTATAATTCTTATTCTCAAGCTTGTGAAATAAACCCATGTTCCCTAAATGATTCAGAGGGTACCGTTGTCTTGACGCTAATTTTAGGCTTAATTAGATGTGCGGTTAGGGACGCGGTCGGAGAGTCGTGACTACGGTTCGTTTCGCAGCGTAATCTGAGCGTCGGTGCGTTTCTTGCACTAGAGGCCTATGCGCTGTCATTCAACAAAACTTTCACGCTGAAGATTTCATTCTAAGGCATCTGTTCCTTGTGTGCTATTAAATAGATGATTACGCATTTCTGGTGAGCAATTCACAACTTGTAAGACACTCAACTAGAAACGCTCTGAATGATAAAAGACGAATAAGGCACTCAGCGGCGTCCATTTAATGTTCGTTACGTGATTCCTGGTCGTTTCAAATTTATAAGGATCTTAACCTGTGAATTGACTTCCTGTGCTTCCTTTAGAATTAGCATGAAACTGAATTCTTCCTCCAGGGTTGTGTCTCCATCTAGATAAGGCGATCAATATCTGCAATGAAAAAATTAGATCTAAATGGCATGCATACTTCGACACGGTTTAGTTAAAGTTAGCTTGCGGTCTACCCCAAGGTGTGTCACAAACATGACTACTAATAGCTAGTTGATTGGTGGTAAATAGGAAATAAAAAAAGTTAAATTACAGTTGTGATGAAAATATGAACATGTCGACGAGTATTTTGTTTTGAGAAATTGGTAATCGGAGTAAACGTTTGTTGTTTCTTTAAAAAGCACCTTGCAATTAACTTAGGTAAAAGATAAAGTGGGGGCGAAAGACAACTGTAATTTCCCAGCTGTGAGATGGGATAACCTCTTTTTACTTATACGCAGGAAAGGGGGAATTGCGTTACACACATGAGATAAAGATGCACGGCCTTCTTTCACACTATCGCACTTTTTTCTATTTCATTTCAGTTCACGAATGTAAATTCTGGAATAATTACATTCGAGACACTACGAACAAGTGTCAGTACTACCAATGTGTTCCCAGTACCTATACGAATGGCAACTGGCAGTTTAAGGCCACGCTGATGAAATGTGCTTACCCTACCAGCGTTCCCGAAGACTATGACGATCCCAGAGAGAGTGCGTTCGACGCGGTCTACACCAACCCTTGCTCAGGGACCAACTTCGGGTCTTGCGAGATTAGCGGGACCGGGCCGGAACCGCGTGGTTGGACACAATGGGGGACGTGGAGTGCATGCAGTGTCACTTGTGGAAGTGGCTCACGCAGTCGCGTGCGTTCATGTCCTCCTGGATCCAACTGCGCTGGCGCCTCGATAGAAGAAGATGCTTGTAACTCCGGACCATGCGGTAAATATTATTACAACAAATAACATAACGTAATGTTAAAAATCAGTGGTAAGTGATTGGTTAAATATTCAAAGAATGCTACTACTCTACGCTGTGCTTATAAAAAAATGTTTGCGTTATTAATTTTAATTATACATAAATGCTGTAATCTTTCAGTGGTAGCTCCTGGCAAACCCACAACTTTCGTCAATGTTCTTGGCACCAGCATGAACGTCACTTGGATACCTGCTGACAGCAGAGCTACTGCTTACTACGTACAATACAGACAACCAGGTACCACCATACGTCTCCTAGCTCATTCTCTTCTAACAGTCTCTCGGTTAACACCAATTTTTTGTTGTTATCATTATTATTAATTTATATATTTTTTTGCAAGAACACACGGAATACGTTATCATGTACAGTAAATTTTATAATGTGCCCTTATAGCCGACTTGATGTTCCACTTCATCCATTTTTACGTTCATTTTGGATGCCTATATCTCATGATGTACAAAAATAGTTGTTTTTCAAATCGAAATAAAATCCCACCACACTGCCAAACACGACAGTCAGTGGAATATGGTTATGTCAAAAATCACTTCCTTATAATTAACGCTGTATTTCTGTGAATTTTCAGGTCAGTTCGCATGGATAAACAGCAGAGAAGAAATGTTTAAGAACTGGATTTTGATCCCAAACCTTTTCCTTGGAGCTTACGAAGTCCGTGTAGTTGCTAAGGGCGTGGGTGGACAAGAAACACCCAGCGACACTAAGACTGTCCAGATTTTGGGTTCAGGTAAAGATATAAACCATACTGGCGCATTAAGAAACAAAATCAAATAAATAAATAAATATATAAATAAATGAATAAATAAATAAATAAATAAATAAATAATGTCTGTATTTAGCAGGGTGAGTGATGTCTTCAGTTACTAAGGAACATTTCCATGATTCATTGGGAATGTATTTCAACCTGATGTGTTCTCTCTATTTTAGTTCCCGGTAAACCAATGGCCACCATCAATGTGGTTGGCTCGAGTATGAACGTGTCTTGGATTCCCGCTGACAACCTGGCTACCAGTTACTACGTGGAGTACAGAAGGACGGGTAAGGGGTTTGCCACCTTCAGTGGTCAATTTAATCAGTAACAGATGCTATGTGAATGTAAGGCAAAAATTAAAAAACGAAGTAAAAAAATTATGAAGAAAACCACGCGCCTTTTAGAAGCACAGCGCTCTAAATCGTCATGTGCGGAAGTGGTATATGTTTTTACTCTTTTTTTATATTAAGGTGATTTCAACTGGCAGAGGTCCAGGGAGGAGAGGTTTAACACCTGGTTGTGGTTACAAAATCTCCCCCAAGGAATCTATGAAGTAAGGGTCGTCGCTAAGAACGCACAAGGACAAGAAACCCGCAGCGATATTTATCCTGTGGAAATCAAAGGAGCTGGTGAGTTTAAGGATTATTGTACATATCAAATAAATGCCTATAACCAGGTGTTTCAAAATGTCGACGAAGAAAAAGACCCAGAGAGCGGTCTAATTTTTACAGGCTAACTTTTTTGAAATTTGCGTAGTCAGTTGGAAATGTTTTTGCCAACTTACGCATACGGCCCTATATATCAAAAATAACATTTAAAGCGAATAAGCATTAACAGTAATAATAATTATTATTAGTATTAGTATAATATAGGTAAAAACTGAATGAAATAAGTAGACGTGCTTACCGAAAAACATCCCTTTTTGTCTAAAAGACGAGTGCTAGTCAAAAAATAGATAGTTACAAGTAACAACATTTTATTTTTAGCACCCGGAAAGCCCACAGTCTATCTTCAAGCAGTGAATAATGGCTTCAATGTTTCGTGGACTGCTGCCGACAATTTAGCCTCTGGTTTCTATGCACAGTACCGCAGAGCAGGTAGGCAATAAATCGTATTGCAATGACTCTTCTTTAACTGGAGTACCAGAAATGAAGACACCGGGAAATTTGTCATTTCGTCTGGTTCGCAGTTTAGTTATTTCTTCTAAATATGCCGCCAGCAAGTAATGTTGATTCGAAGAAATAGGCACTAAATGTTGAGAACGAAGTGAGGTATAGTGAATGGGCATATAGTAATTCTTATTTTTATAGAAAATGCAGAAGAGGTGCCAGCAAAAAGGCATTTAAAAAAGTGTCCAGGGGATGGGGGGGGGGGGGGGGCGAATGTAACATATTTTCAAACCATATTGGTCCCATTTTACAACAGCTTCGTATTTTGACCTGAAAGAGAGACTAGAACTTATTGTTTTATGCTTACATTGATGTTATAATCTCGACCAACTATATCCAAGCAAATTTTAGTCGAACCTTTGTGAGGTGTGTTACATTCAACCATCAGATAACGCGCATGAGTGAATAATTTACATTGAACTGTGAACCCAAAGGTGTAATTAGACAGGCTTGGGTTCCTGGGCATCCAACTCCATGACCTAACACCTTTGACACATTAGTCAAGAACTGATATGCCTTGATGCCATCTGATAATATGAGGTCAGAGATTGAATGTCTAGACTTTTCACCCAAAGTTGATGTCATCAATAAATCATCAGGCACTGAATCTGTATTATTTAAAGATGCACTCAATATAGTTGCATTGATTATGAATTGAAGGATTCTTTGTCTTTTTTAAGAAACCCGTTTTCAAAATTTCTGTGTTCAATTTATCATGGCTTTAATCTTTAGCTTTCGCTTGATAAAATAGAAGAAGAAAAATATAAACCATTATAATTTTTATTAAGATTGGGATTGCAGCAGTTTGATAAAATGAAATGTTTAGACATGTAATTAACTTTGTGGCATATTCTTCTTAATGTTTGTAGGTGCCTTCCAGTGGATGAGCACAAGGGAAGAACGCCGCAATTCATGGATTTGGGTTCAGAATCTTGGCTATGGAACATATGAAGTTAGAGTTGTGGCAAGAAACAATGGTGGACAAGAAACCATCAGTGATGTCTCTCGTGTGGAGCTCAAACAAGCAGGTAAGAAATATTTCGTTGCTAGAAAAAAAGTATTAATTTTTGGAAAGATTTAACTTCTTGAAGACTCACATGTTGACTACTGTGTGGATTGTAAAGTATTGTGATAAATTATGATCCTTTATCTGCTCATACTTCGCATGTGAAGCAAATTCATTGTATTGCCAATTTGAAGCCATGGAAATGTTTATAAAATTTATTTGTTATTTAGCATGTTTATTATTTTAACTACTTATCAATCAATTTATGATTTAGCAATATATCTCCATTATTTTTCATTTGATATTGGATTGACAGAATGAAACAATAAATTATGATATCATTGACCTTCCAGGCCCCAGTGCTCCTGTGGTGTACTTTAACCAGCAAGGCAATGGAGTAAATGTTTCCTGGACTGCTGACCCAATGGGTACTATTTATTATGTGCAGTATAGAAGACCAGGTAAGTTTTTTTAGAAAAAATATATCACATTGAAAAATGAATAACTTTATTCAGAAGGTATATTGCTGAAAAAGAGGGGGAAATGAAGATAATAAAATAAAGATGAATGCTTGCAGCTTGAAAAAAGGCTACTTTGTAGTAATTTATTTGTGGGATATAATTGAAAATGTACATCAGTTCTGTTCATTTAATCAGTACTCTTATGATTGCATTTATCATTATTATTCTCATTGTACCTCGGATTTTAGGTTCATTTGTGTGGCAGAGGTCTGAGGAAGAAATGTTCAACAACTGGATCTTCTTACGCAACCTTCAGCCAGGAACTTATGAGATGCGTGTGATGGTTAGAGGAGTCAATGGACAGGAAGTCCCCAGTCAAGTTTACACTTACGAAATCCAACAACAAGGTAAGATACTGGTTCATTTACTACATTTAATAAGGTGAACTTAACACACTTAGAAGGTCACACCTAACCCAATAGACAGGTCACAATTCACGCAATCAACGGGTCACACCTAACACATTCATCAGGATGCAGTGACCCTTTTTGAACAGTGTAAGGCTATTTTTAAAGGAAATTGTGAAAGTTAAGAACAATTTAAGCCTTTTTGTACCTTTCACTGAAGTAATAATCTCGAAATTTTTTTCCGTGTATAGTTTGGATTCAAGGGTGATGTTTAATTTTAATGACCTTCCAGGCCCCAGTGCTCCCATGGTATACTTTACCCAGCAAGGCAATGGAGTGAATGTTTCCTGGACTGCTGACCCAATGGGCACTGTCTACTATGTGCAGTATAGAAGACCAGGTAAGTCTTCTCTTAAATATGTTACATTTATTATATTGACATAAAGTTCATCATTTTATTTAAGTATTTATTTATTTAAATAGTATTTTACTGTTAGAGAAGACTGGGAAATAATTGAGATAGGTAAGAATACTAAGAAGAAGAAGATTGTTTTAAATTGTATCCCCTGCAAATAAAAATACAATGAATAAAATTCAACCAATTTTATATTCATTTTATCACATTCTGTTGTATTTACTGAAGTTTTAATGTATCACTGATGGCTTCAATATACTTCTATTCTTAGGTTCTTTTGTGTGGCAGAAGTCCCAAGATGTGATGACCAACAATTGGATCTTCTTAAGCAACCTTCAACCAGGAACTTATGAGATGCGTGTGATGGTAAGAGGAGCCAATGGACAGGAAGTCCCCAGTCAAGTTTACACTTATGAGATTCGACAACAAGGTAAGATTCTGGTTCATTTATTACATTCAATTAATAAGCTGAACCTAACTCATTCAGAATGTCACACCTAACCCAACAGGCAGGTCACAGTTTATGCAATCAACAGGGCACACCTAGCATATTCATCAGGATGCAGACCCTTTTTGAACAATTTAAGGTTAATTAAAAAAGAAATGTGAAAATTAAGTACAATATCAATCTTTTATATTATACCTTTTCCTTATATTGATTTATATATGTTTTATTTTAATAACCTTCCAGGCCCCAGTGCTCCTATGGTGTACTTTACCCAGCAAGGCAATGGAGTCAATGTTTCCTGGACTGCTGACCCAATGGGCACTGTCTACTATGTGCAGTATAGAAGACCAGGTAAGTCTTATTTTAAATATGTTACATTTATTATATTGACATAAGGTTCATTATATATAGATTAAAGTGTTCATTTATTTTCATAAAATAGTAAAAATTTTAAATTTAAAAATAGTATTTTGCCGTTAGGGAAGATGGGGAAGCAATTAAGATAGGTAAAAAAAAAACCAACAAGAAGAGGAACATTTTAATCTCTATCCTGTGTGAAAAAAAAATACCGTGAATAAAATTCAATCAAATTTATTATTATTATTTATTTATTTTTTTTTTGCTGAAGATTTAGTGTATCATTGATAGATTCTAAATACTTCCATTCTTAGGTTCCTTTGTATGGCAGAAGTCCCAAGAAGTGATGAACAACAACTATATCTTCTTAAGCAATCTTCAGCCAGGAACTTATGAGATGCGTGTGATGGTTAGAGGAGCCAATGGACAGGAAGTCCCCAGTCAAGTTTACACTTATGAGATCCAACGACAAGGTAAGATCCTGGGTCACACGTGATCATAACTAACACATTTGAAAATTGATCCCAAAGGAATTATGTTTTGAGCTTTGCTGTAAACATAAAAATATGATGTTATTAACTCTTAATTTTAACTAAATAAGCCTGACACTCAGCACATCATATTTCATATTTAGAATATCCATAATAATATATTAATTATTTCTAATTTTCAGCCCCTGCCAAACCCACACAAGTTTTTGTAACAAAATATGGCCAAAGTGGCATGAACATCTCATGGTTTCAGCCGCAGGGAGATGGTGTTCTGACCTATTACATCCAGTACAGAAGGTCAGGTGACGTGCAGTGGATGAGCTCTCCTGAGGAGCGTGGCAGGAACTGGATTATTGTGCAGAATTTACCCATGGGTGTGCGGTATGATACTCGCGTAGTGGTTAGAAACGCAGCAGGACAGGAGACTTACAGTGATATTTACTATATGGACATGACCAGTGGTGGTGGTGGTAAGTGTTATGAAAAAATGTGTGAATGTTGTAGTAATAAAAAGGCCACTGGTGTAAAGTTATTAAAGTTAGAGGGCATTTTGTGTCTTTACGTATCAAACTGAAACTGATAATTTAATGTTTAGATTTTGGTATGGCCATTTTTACAATGAAGGAATTGAGAAGTAGTGAGAGCAGTCTTATTAAATTGAAGACTTCATATTGTCAGACCAATAACCAAGAATTTACATAAGTTATTGTTGAAAGTAGATAAAATTTAGTTTAATTATAGACAAGTCACCTGACCAACATGTTCTGTTCCAGATGCTCCGATCAAGCCCACCAATGTGTATATCACTTACACTATGTCTACCATGAATGTAACCTGGAGTTACAGCCCTCAGCAGACAAACCTGGTATACTATGTGCAGTACAGGCCAGTAGGTGAGTACTTAGAACATAGAGTCAGGTACTGAATAGACACTGAAGAATCGCAATTTTAAGTCCAATTCAGTGTTCACATTGTTGAAAGTTTTTATATTGTTAAAAATGTTCAAATTTCAGAGCAAGTTTTATCTGTAGGTAACAAATGGTCTAGAACACAATCTCAAAACAATATGCTTCTACATTCTAAATGAATTCAAAATGATTTTGGACAGGCTTAAGATGACACTATACCATAAATTTTTAGGTACAACAAATTGGGTCAACTCTCCCCAAGTAATGGGAGACCAGAGGTTCATTTACATCAGCGGCCTCCAGCCTGGGACTTCTTATGAGACCCGCCTCGTTGCTATGAACATGGTCACTGGAGCAGAGACTGCCAGCGACCCCCAAAGAGTGGATATCATGATTGGTGGAGTAGGTTAGTATCATGTTTAAAATGTCGATAGATGTATCAGTTCAACTGATTTCACATTCAAGGTTAAGTTTTAACAAATTTCAAGCTGATGAATAATGGTTTGATGACATTGTTATCTTGCATTTAAAAAAACAAGCTTTATTAAAGAGGAGAACTGTTTTGATTTGAAGACCAAGATAGGTGAACTTAAGCCAACAGTTTAGAACCTGTTGTTTTATGTATAAAGCATGAGAAGAAGAGAGGGTAGGGTGTAGATTTTATCTATCACCCATGAAACAATGTTTATATTTCTACATATGTGTACGTAATATTTAATTTCAGTTGACCTTCGTGAATGGAATGCTTGGACAGCTTGTTCAGCTCAATGTAATGGTGGCACTCAGTTCAGATACCGTGACTGCTTTGGTGTGGGATGTATGGGAATTCAACTCAGAGAGCAAAGACCATGTAACACTCAGGCTTGCAGTAAGATCAACTTTCTTTACACAACTATACACCAAGTAGATAAGCGTCAAGTTAAACATTTTAGCTAGATGCCAATTTTCAGCGTATCAAACAATTTTTTATTGCTGTAACACCATATTTGAGAATTATTTTGTAAAGTTGGGCAAGTGACAACAAGTGATAATGGGAAGATTTGTTCGTTTGAGACAAACAAATGCCAGGAAGTATATTTAGTAAAATACAGATAATGCAATTTCTGATTGGTCATCATTCTACTGAATTCATATATTTAAAGATGTTATATTATTTTACAGCATCCCAAACCATTGGTCAATGGGAGGCGTGGACATCCTGTACTGCAGAGTGTGGCGGGGGTATTCGTTACAGAATCCGTACCTGTACTGGACCTTGTACTGCAGTGCAACGCTTTGAGATCCAGACTTGCAACACACAGCACTGTGCAGGTATGGTGAAGGATATGGACGATAAATATTATATCTTCTATGTAATATTAGGATTTTATAAAGCAATATATATAAGTTAATGCCTATATCTGTGTTTGTCTTTGCAGTCGCTGTGAGCTCTCAATTTTAAATGGAATAACAGCACATATTTAATATGATAATTGTTAAGTTACACTTTTAAAAAAATTGATGTGCAAAAGACTCTTCAGATTTTAAGCAGTGATCCCATATTGTTCAGCCGCACACGAGGCTGCTATCAAGTAGAGAATAGATAATAACAATTATACTCATTCACACTATTTATTTGTTCTTACAGGTGATGTGACCTATGGTCAGTGGAATGCCTGGGAGGCCTGCAGTGTGACTTGTGGTGTGGGAAGGAGAGAGAGACACAGAAGTTGTACTGGAACCGGGTGTGCCTTGGCTGAGACTGGACAGATACAGTCTTGCTACTTCAGGGAATGCGCCAGCAGTAAGTAGAATTGTTATCTTTGTGAGTTTATGTCAGACATTTGATAATATATGTACGTGTGAATCTTTAAATGAGGTTATTGCCAGTAAGTTGTTATTATAGTCTGTCATACAAATTATTTATTTTATCTGGTTAATGACATTATTAATAATAAATTAATGATGATTTCTTGAGAGATGAGAGATGAGAGACAGTACTCAGATGTATATTACTTTGAATCAGCGTATTGTGATGCTTCGTAGTGTTAATCTTGATTAGTGGAGCAAAAACTTCATTTGTAACACATGTTATGTAAATATTAGTAACAATGTAAAATATTGTTTATTTTTAGTGGATCTTCATGAATGGGGAGTATGGACAACATGTACCAAACCTTGTGATGGAGGTGTGCAATATCGCTACCGTGAATGTTTTGGAATGGGCTGCGACAAAGTACCCCAAAGAGAAGACAAGCCTTGCAACACTGCACCTTGTGGTGAGTTTTTTATTTCACTGAATAAAGTTAAAATTGTTACTGTGATGAAAAAATATTTCTGATTCTTTGCAGTATGCATAGGTTTGTTGTTAGTAAGTTGGGGAGATACTTAGTTTGATTTTAAACATTTTCTATTTTCAATACTAGACTGTACTGTTACTAGACTTAAGTCTTTTAGTAATTGTAAAAATGCTGATGAATTTCACCATATGCAGCACAGAATACTGGTTCATATACAGACAGCAAAGTAAATTAAAATAATGGCTTTTTTATCTAAAAGGAAGAAAAAACTCTATGATTTCAGTGAATGTTCAAGCCTGGGGTGAGTGGGGAGTTTGTTCCAAGGAATGTGATGGCGGATTCCAGACCAGAGCTCGTACCTGCACTGGACTTGGCTGCGATATGGTTCAGAAGACTGAGCAGAGGCCATGTAATACCCAGTCATGCAGTAAGTATCAACTGATGTAACTTCCTGACAGATATCTTGATTGTTTTTTAACATGATTTTTGTCAGCAAGTCAGTGTGATTGTCCTTTTGGTCATTCGAAATTGAGATGTGGATGCATCGATAAATATCTACTTGGAACATTGATACTAAAGACAAGGTGTTTGAAAGTTTGAATGGATTTAATGTTGTGATTATATCATCTAACAGCAAACTTTCTTCAAACATTACCCTGTTTGGGACTTTTCAATAAAGATGATATGTGTTGGTGTGGCAAATGTTGGAAAAAAATGTGCACAGGTGTATAATTTGTAATTTTCAGTGGATCTTCATGATTGGGGTGCCTGGGGAATGTGTTCTGCCCAGTGTAATGGTGGAAGACAATTCCGATTCCGTGAATGTTATGGCACTGGTTGTAACAGCGCCAAATTGCAGGAAGAGAAACCATGTAACACACAGCCTTGCTGTGAGTAAAAGTTCATTGGTTTTCTTAGCTGTATACATAGCTTCAGGAAACTATATTGTTAATAACACTGTTATATCAGTGTAGTTTTCCTAACAAAAAATTGTACTGCACTATATAGTAATAATTTATGTCATTTTATTTTGTAACAATGCATTGTGCTATCATTGCAGTGGACATCAGTCAGTGGGGACAATGGGGCACCTGCTCAGTCACCTGTGGTGGTGGTGTGAAGACCAGGGCTAGACAATGTTTCGGAGTTGGATGCGGTGGGGTGCTGCTCACTGAACAGATGCCGTGTAATCCAAACCCTTGCTGTGAGTAATTGTGTTCTAAATTGCTCAATTATTACTTTATGTTAATTATTTTTACAACCAGCTTTTGAAAGAAATTTTTATTGATATTATTGTCATACAAGTACTGTAACTGTACATTATGCTAAATGGTATTCTTTCTTGATGAGAATAATATTCAATTATTATCAAGCATTGTTGTAGAACACATGGGATGGCTCATGCCCCCCATAAAAAAGCACATGTATTTACTTATAATTTACTTAAAGTCTGTGTTATATGTTACAGCCACTACCAGCCAATGGACTCAGTGGGGTCCGTGCAGTGTGACATGTGGCGCGGGAGAACAGGCTCGCACCAGGACATGCACAGGAGCTGCATGTGCAGGACAACCTCTGCGCGAAACCAGAATATGTCAGCTGCAGCCATGTAGTAAGTTTTTTTATCACTTAATATTTCTTCTGAGTTTGAAGCTGGTTGCAACTTCATAGATTACACTATTGAATACTATACATATTAAACAACATCATTGCTCCACTCAACTCTGTCACATTCAATTTGACAAACTTTTTCACACCTAACACAATGCGTTGCACTTGCAGCTGATTTGACTCAGTGGACTGCTTGGGGTCCTTGCTCAGTCACTTGTGGTGATGGGAGACAGTTTAGGACCAGGTCCTGCACAGGGCCTGGCTGTGTAGGCTCTAGTTTGACAGAGAGCAGGTTTTGTAGCATGCCTCAGTGTAGTAAGTGTGCTTCTTGCATGTTTATCTTTTTAGCTATAGCCAGTAGTTGTGGAATATGAAATGAAAATATCTGGTTAAGGAACAAGCCACATTAGTAATTTATTGTTGATTTCATGATTTTGTAATTGATTGTGATGTATTTTGCTACATTGGCAGTGGAAAAGTTATTTTTTATATGGTCTGAGTAGAAACAAATTATTGAAAGGGGGATTCCTTTTTATGTTTCCTTTTAGTTAGATAGTGTATTTATTTGTTACTTCATCACTGATCTTTTGGCTTTTATTTTGGATTTCTCATAAAAGAAGATAATCTCAAATTCCAGGAGCTCTGTCTCAGTGGACTCAATGGGGAACATGCTCTGTCACCTGTGGGGATGGAACTCAGAAGAGAATGAGGACTTGCACTGGAGCAGGCTGTCAAGGTGTCAGCTTAGAGGAAACCAGATCATGTAGCCAGCAGGCCTGCAGTAAGTACACTTAAATATAGAGGGGGTTGTGTTAGCAAGATAGGACATGAGAGTTTTTGTTACTTTTTACTCACAAAACTGTGCTGTAAGGCAACATCAAATGCCTCTTTGTATAGTTTTGTATATTTTAGTTTTTCTCCTTTCTTCCAACACTAGCATGTTCTAGCAATGAGCTACCCTTTCCTGCTTATCTTCCTCAGCTACTTTGTCCCAGTGGACACAGTGGGGATCTTGTTCTGTAACTTGTGGTGATGGATTACAATTCAGAACTAGAACATGTACTGGAAATGGTTGTCAAGGTTACAACCTGGAAGAGCGCAGAGTTTGTCGACAACAAGCCTGCAGTAAGTTTCCTCATCCTTTGCTAGGAAGCATATCAAAATGTATCGAATGTTTCCCCTTATTTTTGGTAATTTTATTCATTTATCTTTTATTATCCTATGTTCTGTCTGTGGGTATTTTTTTTTTTTTTTTGCTTTTTCTTTCCTTTTTGTTGTGTTTATATCCTCCTGCTTATCTTCCTCAGCTACTTTGTCCCAGTGGACACAGTGGGGATCTTGTACTGTTACTTGTGGTGATGGATTACAATTCAGAACAAGAACATGTACTGGTACCGGTTGTCAAAGTTACAACCTGGAAGAGCGCAGAGTTTGTCAACAACAGGCCTGCAGTAAGTTTCCTCATCCTTTGCTAGGAAGCATATCAAAATGTATCGAATGTTTCCCCACAGTTTGTTTTTATTCTCGCTTTTTTCCACTTTTCCATTAAAGGTATTGGTTTTGGTATTTTTTATTTTAATGTTTTTAAGTTATTTTTTAAAAAACAACTTATCATTTTATCCTTTTCTTCACTTTTAAATTTATTCCATTTATTTTTATTATCCTATCTTGTCTTTGGCTATTTTTCTTTCTCTGTCCTTTGTCTTTTGTTTATGTCTCCTGCTTATCTTCTTTAGCTACTTTGTCCCAGTGGACACAGTGGGGATCTTGTTCTGTTACTTGTGGTGATGGATTACAATTCAGAACTAGAACATGTACTGGTAATGGTTGTCAAGGTTACAACCTAGAAGAAAGCAGAGTTTGTCGACAACAAGCTTGTAGTAAGTTTCCATTTTTTTTAAAGAAACAATCCCACAAAAAGGAAATTGTTCCTAACTTTTTTCACACCTCTTTATATGGTTTTTACCAACATGATGATAATTGGTTTCAATATTTTTGGTTTTTAAGTACAGATTCTATGCTGTTAGAACTTTTTTCCTTTTCTTTCTCCCTTTTTCTCTTGCTCCTTTTTATATTTATTGTTATCCTCCTTTCTCCCACTTTGGCTATTTCTGTTCTTCTATCTTTTCTCTTCTGTTTATATCCCCTGCTTATCTTCCTCAGCTACTTTGTCCCAGTGGACACAGTGGGGATCTTGTACTGTTACTTGTGGTGATGGATTACAATTCAGAACTAGAACATGTACTGGTAATGGTTGTCAAGGTTACAACCTGGAAGAAAGCAGAGTTTGTCGACAACAGGCTTGTAGTAAGTTTGCCCATCGTTTTGAAGGAAAGATTTCCACACATGGAATTTTCCCTGTTGTTTTTATTTTTACACATTTTATGCTTTAGCAATGGTTATTAGTTTTGATATTATCTTTTTTTAAGTATACAGTCACTTCCATTATAACCTTTTTTGTTAGTTTGTTTTCTTTCTTCCTTTATTTTTTTTACTCTTTTTTGTATTTATTATTAATCTCCTTTCTCCAACTTTTGGCTACTTTCCTTTTTTCTGTCTTTTCTCTTCTGTTTATTTTCTCCTGCTTATCTTCCTCAGCTACTTTGTCCCAGTGGACACAGTGGGGATCTTGTACTGTTACTTGTGGTGATGGATTACAATTCAGAAGTAGAACATGTACTGGTAATGGTTGCCAAAGTTACAACCTAGAAGAAAGCAGAGTTTGTCAACGTCAAGCCTGCAGTAAGTTTCCTCATCTTTGACAAGGAAGCATCTCAAAACATGTAAAATGTTTCCCCACTGTTTGTTTTTATTCACAATTTTTTAAAACACTTTTATACATACTTTGTAATCTCTTTTGCCATTATAATAAGTAGTTTTGGTATTTTCTGTTTTATATTTTTTAGTTATTTTAAAATAAAACTTTTTGTTTTTATGTTCTTTTATATTTATTTTTATCCTCCTTTTTCCTTCTTTGAACTGTTCTTCTTTCTGTGTCTTTTCACTTGTGTTTATTTCCTCAGCTACTTTGTCCCAGTGGACACAGTGGGGATCTTGTTCTGTTACTTGTGGTGATGGATTACAATTCAGAACTAGAACATGTACTGGTAATGGTTGTCAAGGTTACAATCTAGAAGAAAGCAGAGTTTGTCGACAACAAGCTTGTAGTAAGTTTCCACATCTTTTTTTCGGAAGCATTACCTCACAAGGAACTTTTCTCTGCTTTTTTTATTTTAAGACATTTTTATTTGCTTTTATGATGGTATTTGGTTTTGGAATTTTCCTGTTTTTAATTATAGCTTCAAAACCAATAGGACTTATTTCTTATTATCTTTCTTCCATTTTCTGTCCTTTCTCTTGTGTTTATATCCTCCTGCTTATCTTCCTCAGCTACTTTGTCCCAGTGGACACAGTGGGGATCTTGTACTGTTACTTGTGGTAATGGATTACAATTCAGAAGTAGAACATGTACTGGTGATGGTTGCCGAAGTTACAACCTAGAAGAAAGCAGAGTTTGTCAACGTCAAGCCTGCAGTAAGTTTCCTCATCTTTGACAAGGAAACATCTCATTACGTGCAAAATGTTTCCCAACTGATTATTTTTATACATTTTTGCCATCATAGTAATTGGTTTTGGTATTTTTTAAGTTTTTGAGTTATTTTTGAATATTACTTTCCTTTGTTCTTTTATATATTCATTATTATCATCCTCCTTTATCATTCTTTTGGCTATTTTTCTTTCTCTGTCCTTACTCTTGTGTTTTTTTCTTTCTGATTATCTTCCTCAGCTACTTTGTCCCAATGGACACAGTGGGGATCTTGTACTGTTACTTGTGGTGATGGATTACAATTCAGAACTAGAACATGTACTGGTAACGGTTGTCAAGGTTACAACCTAGAAGAAAGCAGAGTTTGTAGACAACAAGCTTGTAGTAAGTTTCCAATTTTTTTAAAGAAACAATCCCACAAAAAAGAAATGGTTCCTCACTTTTTTCACACCTCTTTATGTTTTTTACCAACATAATGATAATTGGTTTCAATATTTTTTGTATTTTATTTGTATTCAATGCTGTTAGAGCTTTTTCTCGTTTTCTTCCTCCCTTACTTTTCTTGTTCTTTTTTATATTTATTGTTATCCTCTTTTCTCCCACTTTGGCTGTTTCTCTTCTTCCATCTTTTCTGTTATGTTTATATCCCCCTGCTTATCTTCCTCAGCTACTTTGTCCCAGTGGACACAGTGGGGATCTTGTTCTGTTACTTGTGGTGATGGATTACAATTCAGAACTAGAACATGTACTGGTAATGGTTGCCAAGGTTACAACCTAGAAGAAAGCAGAGTTTGTCAAAGACAGGCTTGTAGTGAGTTTTCACATCTTTTTGAGGAATCATTACCATACATGTGTTTTTTACCTTTGTTGTTTTTATTTTTACTCATTTTAATATGCTTAAACCATGTTAATTGGTTTTGGTATTTTTTTGGTTTTTAGAATAAATTCAGGAGTATTTTGATTTTTCTTTTCTTTTCTTTTTGGTCCTTTTTGCATTTATTATCATTAAATTCCTTTTTTCTATCCTTGGCTATTTTTCTTTATCTATCCTTTCTTTTATGTTTATTTTCTTATGCTTATCTTCCTCAGCTACTTTGTCCCAGTGGACACAGTGGGGATCTTGTACTGTTACTTGTGGTGATGGATTACAATTCAGAACTAGAACATGTACTGGTAATGGTTGCCAAGGTTACAACCTGGAAGAAAGCAGAGTTTGTCAACGTCAAGCCTGCAGTAAGTTTCCTCATCTTTGACAAGGAAGCATCTCAAAACATGCAAAAAGTATCCCCGTTGTTTGTTTTTATACACTTTTCTCATTATACTTATTGGTTTTTGGTATTTCTGTTATCCAGTTATTTTTAAATACACCTTTTTCCTATGTTCTTTTACATATTTATTCTTATCCTCCTTTCTCCTGCTTTGGCTGTTTTTCTTTCTCTGTCCTTTCTCTTGTGTTTATTTCCTCCTGCTTATCTTCCTCAGCTACTTTGTCCCAGTGGACACAGTGGGGATCTTGTACTGTTACTTGTGGTGATGGATTACAATTCAGAAGTAGAACATGCACTGGTAATGGTTGTCAAGGTTATAACCTAGAAGAAAGCAGAGTTTGTCGACAACAGGCCTGCAGTAAGTTTCCACATCTCTTCCGAGGAAAAATTTCCACATAATGAATTTTTTCTCTAGTGTTTTTGTCTTTACCCATTTTTAAATGCTTTAGCGATGGTATTTGGTTTTGGAATTTTACTGTTTTTAATTATAGGTTCAAAACCAATAGGTTTTTTTATTATCTTTCTTCCATTTTCTGTCCTTTCTGTTGTGTTTATATCCCCCTGCTTATCTTCCTCAGCTACTTTGTCCCAGTGGACACAGTGGGGATCTTGTTCTGTTACTTGTGGTGATGGATTACAATTCAGAACTAGAACATGCACTGGTAATGGTTGTCAAGGTTACAACCTAGAAGAGAGCAGAGTTTGTCGACAACAAGCCTGCAGTAAGTTTCCACATTTCTTTCAAGGAAACATTTCCACATAATGAATTTTTTCTCTAGTATTTTTGTCTTTACCCATTTTATATGCTTTTACTGTGGTTATTGGTTTTGGTATTTTCTGTTTTGAAGAATAGATTCAATAGTATTTGGATTTTTCTTTTCCTTATTTTTGTCCTTTTTTCCCATTTATTATCATTATCATCCCTTCTTCTATCCTTGCCTATTTTTCTTTTTCTGTCCTTTCTCTTGTGTTTATATCCTCCTGCTTATCTTCCTCAGTTACTTTGTCCCAGTGGACACAGTGGGGATCTTGCACTGTTACTTGTGGTGATGGATTACAATTCAGAAGTAGAACATGTACTGGTAATGGTTGCCAAAGTTACAACCTGGAAGAAAGCAGAGTTTGTCAAAGACAGGCCTGCAGTAAGTATTTTGTGTATGTGTGTCAAGTTTCAAAGTGGTAAAACACCCTACTTGCAGACACTACACTTCTGTTGGGGCCAGACTGGTTTCACCTGACCGTGTTTGTATCCAAATCATACTTTGCCTTGGTAATGGGTAACAGGTTGACTCTATTTATTGACACTCTTTAAATATTATATGTGCAAATGGGCTTAGATGTGTGATATTTCTCATTTTTTAGTCAACTTGTCACAGTGGTCGGCCTGGGGCACCTGTTCTGTCACGTGTGGAGAGGGTATGGAGATGAGAACCAGAACTTGCGTTGGCAGCAACTGTGCCAACCAACAGACACAGGAGACCAGACCTTGCACTCGTCCTGCTTGCCGTAAGTAGTGGTTTTTGATGAAAATTTCACTGTGTGTCTCATTTTAACTGTGCATTAAAAACTTTGAATTCCTTTCATTACTTTTGCTTTATATTTCACGTACTCTTTCGCATTTTACTTATTTGCACTTGTGTTCTTTCTGTCTGCTGTTTCTACTACATTTCTTTTTAAAATGAAATTTCTCATCCCTTGGTGTTGATTACTTCATCCTTTGTGAAGCATGTTGAACTATATTTTATTTTCTTCTTTTCACTTTACTGTCATTGCACACTCTTACTTCAGCCTGTTCTTACTATTGTCACAATTTATATCATTCCTACACAGAGGTTCTTGGTGATTGGGGTCAGTGGACTACATGCTCTGCCACGTGCGGAGGTGGCATGCAGTTCCGTAATCGTCCCTGCTCTGGCAATGCCTGTCAGTTCTTGAGAACACGAGAGAGCCGATCCTGCAACACTGACCAGTGTGGTAGGTGTGATAGTATGATTGTGAGAGGATGTGTTGGATGTGACACCATGGCAGTTTGTACTGATTCAGTATGAAGATATGCTATGACTGATTGTATAAATGACATCATTGCATACAAACAAGTTTTTTAATGCTGAAAGTTTTTGGTTAAAAAAAGAGTTTAAAACTTACCTACGACAAGTATGGATAAGAGAGTCAATTCACTGTCTGGGTGCAGTTAAGCATGTTATCGGAAGGTCTATTCAAGTTGCCTATTCCCACTTTCAGTTGTCCAGGCCCAGGTGTCCCAGTGGACTCAGTGGGGTCAGTGTAGTGCCCAGTGTGGTACTGGACAGCAGGAGAGAACCAGACAGTGCATGGCTGGGGACTGTACTGGAATGATGCTGAGGGAATCACAGAATTGCAATACACAACCATGTGGTGAGTATGCTATCACTTCTATTTTCTTCTTTTCTTATATTTTTATGTATACTTGTAATATGATTTCTTTAATTTTTACTTGTAAGCAATCATCTTTATAAATGTAAAATGAAGTATGAAATTTGACTCTCTAATTATAACCAAAATGCCTAATCATGAATCATTAATTTCAAATAAGCACTCGATTTGAATATGACTGTAATTTCTGATTCAGTCCAATATGGCCAGTGGACTCAATGGGGCACCTGCTCAGTAACCTGTGGTAGTGGTGTCCAGAGACGTACCCGTACCTGCAGTGGACTGCAATGTAATCTGAACCCAGGAGCCCTTGAGGAGACGAGAGCTTGTACCCTGCAGGACTGTGTGTCTGGTGAGTAGGAGAGAATCAGGAACTTTTGGACTCCTTTCCTCCAACACACACACAACAAAAGAAAAACTGTAGTTATATTTCAATTTTAACTTAAAAATAAATTGATTTTGAAATGTATGAATGATATTGACAATGAGTTTTTTTGTCAGCAAATGTAAAACACTATTAGTGTTTTAAAAATCTATGTAATATTGGCAATTGAAACAGTAATGCAAATTGAACCAGTAGCATGAAAAACTTCTAACAACTTCTAAAACTCTTTGTTTCCTAGTGAGCCTGAGTGAGTGGGGCCAGTGGGGAGCTTGTAATGCTGAATGTGATGGAGGCGTGCAGATCAGGAACAGAGCTTGTTTTGGCAACGGCTGCCAAGGACAACGTCTCCAGGAGACCAGAAGTTGTAACCAACAGCCTTGTGGTAAGTGGTAGAATTTTTGTTTATTGCAGCTGCTGGTATTATAAGTTTTGTATTAAAACTAATTTAACACTGGCAAATATTGATAAAACAAATACCTGTTTCTTCAAAGTTGTGTCAGTCAACGATCTCCTAAATAAAAATTTCTGGTACAAACATAGTATCTGATTTTTTCCAGCTGTGTTTTCAGCCATTTCCTTAATAGATATTCCTCTTCAATTAACCATAATCTCTCTCTCTTTCAATCCCAGTGTCTCTCTCCCAGTGGGGTCAGTGGTCAGTTTGTCCAGTCACCTGTAATGGTGGCACTCAGGTCAGGTCTAGGGCCTGCTTTGGCAGTGGGTGTGCCGATGTCCAGTTACAGGAGTCTCGCCCATGTGGACAGGAACCTTGTGGTAGGTTTAGGACTCATGTTGATTATCACTGGACTTCGTGGCAGAGCAATAGCTACTAACATTGCATTGTATTTTAAAGCTTATGCTTCCCTTTTGGAGTTTTTTGTTTGTCAGTTTATGTATTAATGTGTTGTTTTGTACTGTACTATATCGCAGTGGGAATTTTTATGGTACTTCAAAACTGTGGATTTCTTGTTATGTAAAATGTGCAGTTAATAGCTGCACTGATGATTTTGCCATCAAAAGAGATTTGGAGAAGACTGCCATCTGGTCATTAAAGTCCTCCTTTTGTGAAGGACCAAAGTGGCCTGTCTTTCTTTAGGTTGCCACCTTTTTTATATATTATTTGCTTTGCTTGTTAGTATCAGAACCACAGGTTACAGAATGGGGTCAGTGGACGCAGTGCACTGCAACTTGCAATGGTGGAATACAGTTCCGTAGCCGCGCTTGCTTTGGTGCTGCATGCGTTGGTGTGCAATTGCAAGAATCACAAGCATGCAACCAACAACCATGTGGTATGTTTCCTCAGCAGTTCACCAGGCAGCTGGGATTAACACTTTTAACCTATGATAACATTCTTCAATAGCACTACCTTATTCTGATTGCCATTTTAATTCTCACCTTGTCATCTTTAGATTTTATCTCTTATCTCTGTACCATACTTTTCCAGTGTTGACCATCATATGATCACTTTGCTGGTAACACACTCTGTTTCTGTGTATATATGGAGTTGGTGCATCCTTTTTATTATCATGATGTTACTCTTACTATACACAATGTTACTTCTTTTCTCAAGTCTTTCTAATAATGATGTGGTCATCTTTTCCTTATACTTACAGGTTTGTGACTGTTTCTTAACTACAATAACTATTTTAGCTAATCAAATAACAGACGTCTTTGTTAAATCTCTCATATACTAATGATGTTTTCATACTATTTCAGTGGATGTATCATTATTGATGGCAAGCTATTCTCTATTCTTATTTCAAGTTTTCATCTGTACTAATAATAATTTACATATACTTTAAACAGAAACATTTCTTCAGTTTCTTCAGTTTACTAATATGATAATCTCTGTAAAATAGACCAATTTGATTTGGTATTTGTTGTGGCATATTTAAAACAATTACATCAAAGAGCATGGTTTGAAATGTAAAAGATGAGATTCAGATCACTCAGTTGATTGTTTTATAATTGTAAAACTTTGTTATACCTTTATTTGCTAAAAGAGGCATGTCTAATTTACTGAATAATGACAAAAGTGTTCTGATGGTTCGACTGTTATATGTGACACTGTGTTAGTTGTGCCATTGTGTTAGTTGTGACACTGTCTTAGTTGTGATGACATTGTTCTCATTTTACAGTCAGTGTTACTGAATGGAGCAACTGGGGCCAGTGTTCTGCTGAGTGCGATGGTGGTCTCCAGGTCCGCCAAAGAACATGCACAGGTGGCGCTGTAAATTGCCAGAACGTACAACTGCAGGAGTCAAGAGCCTGTAACTCACAGCCATGTGGTAGGTGCATCAGACCTGGGAGACTGTGATAGGATTTTTTGCAAATGCTTATATAACGAAAATAATATATATATGAGGCCTGCAAGGAAATTGCAGAAATATGATATAAAATTTAGTATTTGTACAAGCAGGTACAATAGAAATTCATTTACATGTAGTCCAGTATTTGATTATTCTCACTGCATAATTTTCACTTCAGGTCCCAAACCATACATTACATTCCAGTATTTCTGCAGTATTTGCTGTTCGCCTGTGATTAAATCTCATTTGGTTATGTTTCAGTGACCCTCACCCAGTGGAGTGAGTGGGGCACCTGCTCTGTGACTTGTGGGCAAGGTCTTCAGTTCAGAAACCGTCAGTGCACAGGCAGTCGCTGTGCTGCAGTCATCAAACAGGAGTCCAGACCCTGCACTCTCCAGCAGTGCCCAAGTACTAACACTGGTAAGGCAGGCAGCTCTGGGTTAATTTTTGTTAATAAATTCAGATGTCATGCTGTGGCCATTTGTAATTATTTGATGTCATTGAATAAAAATATCTTTTAAAAAAGTAACTGAAAATTGATTCAGATGTCATGAGATAATATGAACAGTTTAAAAGTGAATCAAATATCCTTCATTCTTCACATTTTAGGTCCAGTGAAACCATCGGTGTTTGTGAGTCCTTTGTCCACCGGGCAAGGTGTTAATGTAACCTGGGTACCTCAGACCCCCAACATGGGCTACACATATGTCCTGCAGTACCGTACACCTGGTAAGTTCTTCTCAACATCTGTCTCCTCTTAAAAGTACCCCAGAAATTGCAAAGATCTGTGAAAACTGTACATGTTAATGCATATAAAAAATTCTTGCAAAGTGGACTTCATATAATTAATAATGTGAATGAACTTTCAAGTTGTATATTTTTATCAAAATTTAGGTGCTTTCTCCTGGACTAGTGGTGGTATGGAAACTTTCCGAGGGTGGATGGTTGTGCCAAACCTTCCTCTAGGCACCTATGAGATGAGAGTGATTGTTACTGCACCCAATGGACAGGAGACTGTCAGTGACATCATCAGAGCTGAGGTGGCCAACCAAGGTACACCGTCACAACCTAACACAATAGTCAGTTATATGTCACACTTAACACAATTGTTATAATTGTTATCTGACCTTTCACACAACATTTAGTATTATTGGTTGATGTTGTGACTTACAGAATGCCATTCTTAGTTTGATAGCACATTCATGAGATGTGATTAGTATGATTAACATTGACACACTTGCTGTGTAGATGCAACTTAACATGGCCACTCAAATCAGTTGCATATGTACAATTTAAAAGAGGTATATTTCATAAGGCTGTAAATGATGGATAAAAAATACGCCATCAATTTTAGTCAACTTACACAAGACTTAAGATTTTCTTTATTTTTCAGGTCCAGTACTCCCCAATCTGATCTTCTCCCAGAGCCCCACAGGTTTGAATGTGTCCTGGGTCCCCACTGACTCTGGACATAACCACATTGTGCAGTACAAGAGATCAAGTAGGCAGATTCACTTTTCTTTTTAATATTTGCGGTTCTTGTATCTTGTGCTTAGTGATGTTAATTGGAACTCCTTTGATAAGATATTGTTTGAATTTTGTGCAATTTATTTTGTCAGTTTCCAAAGGTACATACAGGTCAATGCCAGCAGTTGCACTTTTCCAATTCAATCCAATATTCAATTAAAAGAGTAATAAATGTGAATAGTTTATCAAAGCACATTGTGTACATATTTATATTTAGCTCCCTCTGATAGAAATTAATTTGGATCTCATTTTATCCCATTTGATTTTCTCCTTCCTCTAGCTGAATTTACATGGACCACAGCAGGCGAAGAGAGATTTAGAAACTACCTTATAATCCCCAACCTGACTCCAGGAAGCTATGAATTCCGTGTAATTGTGAGAAACAACCTTGGCGTGGAGACTGTGACTGATGTCTACAGGGTTGAAGTCAGGGAGACCTCTGGTGGACAGACAGGTAAGGCATTATTTTTTTGCCACAAGAGTAGATAAATAGATAGGTAAAGTAAAGAAATCTGGATCGTGTTCTTAGATGGCTCTGCTGGTACTTCTAACACAAAAGCACATTTGATGATATTACATGACCAAATAAAGTGTTCTTTAAAAAGATTACCTGCTTATGTCAGCACCGAAAGTGTTACTACAAGTATTTCTATAAATTGAGTCATACACAGTCACTAATTTGATGAGTGATTATTGTAGATTAAAATAGCATCCTCAGCATTTGGACACTTATGTTATTGCATTGTGCTATAACTTCAGGTCCAGCTTTACCAAACTTCAACATTCAACAGACAACCACTGGAACTGGTTTGAACATTTCGTGGGTGCCCGTCCCTGGCCTTCCGCGTAATACTTACATTGTTCAGTACAGAAGACCAGGTGAGAAGACTAGAGTGACAATATACATAATACATAATACTTATGGATATTTTTTTCTTGACCACTTTCAACTGAGCTAAAAAGACCTTAGATTTAGTAATGAGGACACCGCAGGCCTTTAATTTATTAATCTTTTGGCTACTTTACTTTTACTAGGTGAGCTTACTTGGACCAGTGGAGGCCAGGAGTCCTTCAATAACTTCATTATCATTCCAAGTCTCCCTACTGGCACCTATGAGTTCAGAATCATTGTAAGAAACAATCTTGGACAAGAAACTATCAGCCAGATCTTTAGAGTGGAGGTCAGACAAGCCAGTGGAACAACAGGTAATACTTCATGGCTATTTTCATATTTGAAATACTCAAATAAAATTGCAGAATATGTTCCGCCTATCCTCTCTCTGTCTCCCCCAACCTCCAAAAACTGTCTGTAAAATGACTTCACTGTTAATTTTATTTTATTTAATGAAACTAATGGTCAAAGGATTTCTACACAGGACATGCCTTAGATTATGCTTTATACAATTTTTCATTTATTGTTTTTTTCAGGTCCACAGATGCCCAACTTCAATGTGGCCTCTACAGGAGTGGGGACTGGACTGAATGTCTCCTGGGTGCCAATCCCTGGGGCCTTCGGAAACACATACATTGCCCAGTTCAGACAACCAGGTACCTCCTCTCTCTCTCTCTCTCTCTCTCTCTCTCTCTCTCTCTCTCTCTCTCTCTCTCATAATTTCATCTATTTCACATTTTGTCTCTTTATATTCAACTCTCTATGGTTCTCAGGTTGTTAAATGTTTCCACTGTCCTACAATTATAGGAGCACCAACCTGGACTGTGGGCGGTCAGGATACCACAAACAACTACATCATTATCCCCAACCTCCCCGTCGGAACTTATGAGTTTAGAATGATTGTGAGGAACAACCTGGGTCAGGAAACTGTTAGCCAGATCTTCAGAGTTCAAGTCCAAGCAGCAGGTAAGACAGTGTTTTGGACTTGGCCCAAAGCTCCATAATCTTTTGCTAACAATGACTTATCAGCATTTTTTTTCAGGAGAAGATTTAAAATACAAGTTGGCATTCCAGTGACAGTTTTGGGGAAACCAAAGCATAATTATCTCAATCAAACATTTTAGCCTGAAAGAAATGCATAGGCCTTATATACTGTTTCATCTGCCAGATGAAAACATTTGTTTGGGGAAAAAAGAATGATTGTGATTATTATTATTTGTTTGTGTTTTGTCCAGATACTTTTCCAGTGAAGTTATTACACTATTTTGGGTTGGACTATTTGAACCATGAAATGTGTTGATGTCAACTAGTATACAATTGTTGTGAATGGCTGTTTTATAACTTTGTGTCATTGTTTCTGTGGCTTGTAGTTGTAGTATAGTTGTATTGTTAATCATAATGAAAAAAATACTGTAATTATCAATATGAAAACCATATCCTATGCTTTAAGCATTAATCAAATGTTTGTGCAAGAAAGTGTAAAAAAGCTTGAATTTAGTACTTAGTAACTAATCTTCCAAATATTTTAACTGTTTAGGTGTAAGTAACATAATCATGAGCTTCATGTAAATGTTTGTATTTGTCAAGCAGTAGTACCATGCTTATGTGAGCAACACACCCATGTACTTACAATGCTGTGAAAACAATATAACCATCAGTTTATGTGAGCAAAATCAGCATTCCCTTGTGCTTCTGTAACCTAATACAAACCCCAGTAACACCTTATCCTCACTGTGTGCTGTCAGGTGATACATTAGGAGAGTGGAGTCCATGGGGGGTGTTTGAGATGGCGTCAGGCAGGTTTATCCCAGACCAGTGTACCAGACCATGTGGCGGTGGCAAGCAGTTCCGTGGCAGACAGTGTATGGGAACTGAGGCTTTCTGTAGAAGCCAGCAGCTGGAGGAAGAACAGGACTGCAACACACAGCCCTGTACTAACAGCACTTCAGGTAGACTTCTAATACACTCAATACAATACAGTTGTTATACTGTCTCACCTAACACACTAAACACATTGCTTGAACATATGCAGTCTCAACTAACTCACTTGACACAAGGCTTTAATTGACTATATCAGCTATTTAACACTCTTAACTCATTGTTTCAGTAACAAATTAAGTAAATCACCCAATGTTAATATTTTCCCCTCAGCATTGAACATGTAATTTCAAAATTAACATAATGTGTTAACTGCAAATTGAATGCGCTAGTGCATATTTATGTTTTAAAAATAAATTGTTATATTAAATTATTAACATTTTATGTGTTAACCCTAATATCTTTTATTTACATGTAAATTGGTCTTGTATGTATGTATGTATGTATGTATGTATGTATTTTGATACTATTGAAATAAGTATAAGTGTAACAAGGAAAGATGAGATGTAAGAGGGTAATGCTACCAATGACACTACTAACCTGTTAGCTGTTTTATATATTAGGAGATAGCCTTGGTGAATGGGGTCCTTGGGGAGTTGTAGAAATGGCCACAGGAAGATTTATTGAGGGAGAATGTACAAGACCATGTGATGGCGGAGTTCAATTTCGTGGGCGCCCATGTACAGGCTCTCAGAGTTTCTGTATGGGCCAACAGTTAGAAGAAGTCCGAGATTGCAATACTCAGCCATGTGGACCAGGAAATGGAACTAACACAGGAGGTAGTTGAGAAGAAAAATTATGTTGTTATAATTCCCCCCATATTTATATTCTTACAATGCTTATAACTAATAAAATGCCACCCTGCTTAACCTTACAGTATTCTAACTATAACCTTTTATAAAAAGGTTCTCTAACATTGAGTTGCCATGATAACTGTCAACCTCATTAATGTTAGTAACATCATACTGCTCATTTCCTTGTAAGATGCCTCGTAATTAATTCACAAAGAGACAGAACTAATCTATAAGCCAATCTGTATATCAGGAGATAGCCTTGGAGAATGGACACCTTGGGGAGTTGTAGAAAGAACCTCAGGAAGATTTATAGAGGGAGAATGTACAAGACCATGTGATGGTGGAGTCCAGTTCCGTGGTAGACAGTGTAGAGGCTCTCAGAGCTTCTGTATGAGTCAGCAGTTAGAAGAAGTCCGAGATTGTAATACTCAGCCATGTGGACCAGGAAATGGAACTAACACAGGAGGTAGTACTGCAGAAATAATTGTTTTCCTTATTACTAATTCTGATTTGTATGTAAATGTTATGGTTAAATATTAAACAAAATATAAAAAGGCACTAATATTTCTATCATTTATGTTTCCCAACTTAGTATTTTTTTTAATGTGTCAAGTAGTTTAACATTTATAGTTATCTTCAGACCTTCGTTTTTATTAGGTTACTATCACCCACTACCATTAATATCAGTATAGCTTTTACCTTACCCACCTTTCCCAAGAAAAACATGCTTAAAATCACAAATGTCATAAAAAGAATCATAACTAATCTGTGGGGCATTCTGCACATCAGGAGATAGCCTTGGAGAATGGACACCTTGGGGAGTTGTAGAAATGGCGTCAGGAAGATTTATAGAAGGAGAATGTACAAGACCATGTGATGGCGGAGTCCAGTTCCGTGGTCGCCAATGTACAGGCTCTCAGAGCTTCTGTATGAGTCAGCAGTTAGAAGAAGTCCGAGATTGTAATACTCAGCCATGTGGACCAGGAAATGGAACTAACACAGGAGGTAGTTGAGAATATGAATTATGATAGTACTTTCTCATACATGCACATACATTGCTTATTACTGCTTAAATACCCCCTACTTAACCTATCAGTATTCTGAATGTTTGCTTATATCAACATGTACCAGTAGTTAGTATGCATATTAATATTTAGTTCCTGAAATCTAACAATAAGCAATTATCATTAACTGGCAGCTTTTATCTTGTTTGTAATGTTCTTCCATTTTCCTAAGATGTCATTGTAATTAACGCAAAAGCAAGCACAACTAACCTATAAGCAATTATGTGTATAAGGAGATAGCCTTGGAGAATGGACACCTTGGGGAGTTGTAGAAAGAACCTCAGGAAGATTTATAGAGGGAGAATGTACAAGACCATGTGATGGTGGAGTCCAGTTCCGTGGTAGACAGTGTAGAGGCTCTCAGAGCTTCTGTATGAGTCAGCAGTTAGAAGAAGTCCGAGATTGTAATACTCAGCCATGTGGACCAGGAAATGGAACCAACACAGGAGGTAGTAGTTAAAAACAAGAATTCTCCTTGTTACTAATTCTAATATGTGCACAAACTCAACTGTCTAGTAAAACAAAATTCCTATCATCTATTTCCAAACTTTATGTATGTATGTTTTTGAATGTGCCAAAAAGATTGAGATGTATTGTTTGCTTTGCCTTTTAATAGATTGTATCACCCACTACCATTAACATCTGTTTAGCTTTAACCCTAATTAACAGAGCTACACTGCAGGGCATGATCAAAATCATGTCATAAAATAAAATACCTAACCAAAGTAATTCTGTGTATCAGGCGATAATCTTGGAGAATGGACACCTTGGGGAGTCGTGGAAATGGCGTCAGGAAGATTTATAGAAGGAGAATGTACAAGACCATGTGATGGCGGTGTCCAGTTCCGTGGTCGCCAATGTACAGGCTCTCAGAGTTTCTGTACCAGTCAGCAGTTAGAAGAAGTCCGAGATTGTAATACTCAGCCATGTGGACCAGGAAATGGAACTAGCACAGGAGGTAGTTGTACAAAACATAACTGTTGCCCTTGTTACTAATTCTAATACGTGTACAAACGTAACTGTCAGGTAGAAATAACAGACCTTATATTTCCATTATTAATGTTTTATAATATGCCACATAATTGATGGTGTTTTGTTGGTCTGTAACTTTTTTGGGTTTACAAAACTAGCGTCCTCTATAGTGAAAATAGGATTCAGATCACACATAGCTGGGAAATGGCTTTTATCACAAAAGTAATAAAAGAAACAGCTAACATATAAGCCATTCTGCATATCAGGAGATAGTCTTGGAGAATGGACACCTTGGGGAGTCATGGAAATGGCGTCAGGAAGATTTATAGAAGGAGAATGTACAAGACCATGTGATGGAGGAGTCCAGTTCCGTGGTCGCCAATGTACAGGCTCTCAGAGCTTCTGTATGAGTCAGCAGTTAGAAGAAGTCCGAGATTGTAATACTCAGCCATGTGGACCAGGAAATGGAACCAACACAGGAGGTAGTTAGATATACTAATTGAGAAATTGTTTTTCTATACTTACCCATAATCTGGAAAAAGACCATTTTTTTCAGATTTTGCTTGCCCTGATGCTAACAACATGTTACTCGCTTTGAATATGTGTATTTATATGTACTAAGTCTAATACTGAAAATTATAAGTCATAGCCATATTTTTGTGTAATTAAACAATACACATGCAAAAACTGATCTGTGAGCTACTCTGCATATCAGGAGATAGCCTTGGAGAATGGACACCTTGGGGAGTGGTAGAAAGAACCTCAGGAAGATTTATAGAGGGAGAATGTACAAGGCCATGTGATGGCGGAGTCCAGTTCCGTGGTAGACAGTGTACAGGCTCTCAGAGCTTCTGTATGAGTCAGCAGTTAGAAGAAGTCCGAGATTGTAATACTCAGCCATGTGGACCAGGAAATGGAACTAACACAGGAGGTAGTTGAAACAGTAGTTGTGGAAATTGATACTAATTTAACCACATTTACAGATGGAATTTTTTTAATCAAGTACCCAAAATTTATAACCCATTAATACATCTCAGCTTTATATGTTTGTATGTATGACAATGTGCTTACATGTAACATGCTAACCAAATTTGTTCCTGTTATGTGTCCCACTTGTTTCTGTGTATAGTATGTTTATGTGTAACATGTTTACTAAATTGGGATATGTATTGTTCAATTTGTAACTATTACGCATCTCTTTCTTCTTATTATGTATAGTTTTTAGCACTAACACAGCAAAGATATCCACTTATCATACAAAAAATAAATGTAAGAAACTAACCTATGAGGCATTCTGCATATCAGGAGATAGTCTCGGAGAATGGACACCTTGGGGAGTCATGGAAATGGCATCAGGAAGATTTATAGAGGGAGAATGCACAAGACCATGTGATGGTGGAGTCCAGTTCCGTGGTAGACAGTGTAGAGGCTCTCAGAGCTTCTGTATGAGTCAGCAGTTAGAAGAAGTCCGAGATTGTAATACTCAGCCATGTGGACCAGGAAATGGAACTAACACAGGAGGTAGTTAGAAATATTAATTGAGATATGATTTTCCTATACTTATCCATAATCTGTAAAGAAAAACATTTTTTTCAGATTTTCTTTACCCTTTATCTAACAATGTATTTATCAATGGCTTTGAATATGTGTATTAATATGTAGTACCTTAAGTCTTACACTAACTGTTTTAAGTGATACATGTAACTAGAATTTTATGTAATTAATCCACACGATCAATGTACAACAGGAGATAACCTCAGTGAATGGACACCTTGGGGAGTTGTAGAAAGAACCTCAGGAAGATTTATAGAAGGAGAATGTACAAGACCATGTGATGGCGGAGTCCAGTTCCGTGGTCGCCAATGTACAGGCTCTCAGAGTTTCTGTATGAGTCAGCAGTTAGAAGAAGTCCGAGATTGTAATACTCAGCCATGTGGACCAGGAAATGGGACTAACACAGGAGGTAGTTGACAAAACTGTAGTTGGGAATTGATACTAATTCTAACACATGTACAATTAGGATGTATTATATCATGTTCCCAAAAGTTATAACCCATTTATGCATCTCGTCTTTATATGTTTGTATGTATGACAATGTGCTGACGTGTAACATGTTTACTAATTTTGGATTTGTATTGTTTGTTTCTGTTAATTGCCCCACTTGTTTCTGTGTATAGTATTTAGCACTAACACAGCAAATGTATCCTCTAATCATACAATAAATGAATAAATGAAAACTAACCTATAAGGTATTCTGCATATCAGGAGATAGTCTTGGAGAATGGACACCTTGGGGAGTTGTAGAAATGGCGTCAGGAAGATTTATAGAGGGAGAATGTACAAGACCATGTGATGGCGGAGTCCAGTTCCGTGGTAGACAGTGTAGAGGCTCTCAGAGCTTCTGTATGAGTCAGCAGTTAGAAGAAGTCCGAGATTGTAATACTCAGCCATGTGGACCAGGAAATGGAACCAACACAGGAGGTAGAAAAGAAGAATAATTGTGGTTTCAGTTAATTTTGGATATGATTTCATTTGGACCAAATATCACCCCTAATCAGACTAATATTCCAATGCTTTTCCAATGAGTTTTCATGAAAAGCTTATATATATATGTGTCTATATATGTGTGACTTACACCAGCACCAACTGATCACTCTAATTGACAATCTATAACTTTGACAGATTTTTTTTATTTTGCTGATTGCCTGTTTTATGTTGTTATTAATAAACTGGAAAAATTATTACTAACCAAAATCATTCTGCATATCAGGAGATAGCCTTGGAGAATGGACACCTTGGGGAGTTGTAGAAATGTCATCAGGAAGATTTATAGAGGGAGAATGTACAAGACCATGTGATGGCGGAGTCCAGTTCCGTGGTAGACAGTGTAGAGGCTCACAAAGCTTCTGTATGAGTCAGCAGTTAGAAGAAGTCCGAGATTGTAATACACAGCCATGTGGTTCCTCTTCTGGAACTGCTGGTGTCACTGGGCCAACAGGGGCAGGTCCATTACCAACCACAAATACTGGAGGTACATCAAGAGTGCTTTCACCCTTGCTATAATCCAATATAGAAATATAAGCCTTATCCGATGCAGTAATGTCTTTTGTTGTGTAAATGTACGTCTTGTACTTTGTCATGTCTTTGTCATGTATTTGTACCAAGTCAAAATTCCTACCCAGAGTGATGGCAAGATTTATTTGTTTGTATGGTGTTTCACCTGTTACTGTTTATGTTACACTGTAATGTCTAACGTTTTGTTTTGTGCTAACCAACAGTAATATATATATCATGTGCATGAAGATGTATTTATAGTCTAGTTGTGATGGCTCAGCTTAGTACCATGGGCTTGCAACATGCTGTGATTACAAAATCTAAGCCAGAAGAGTAAATGTACTCCTATGAATCTGTAATCCCAATCACAATTAATGGTCCACAGAAGTAGTACCATACTAGGCTAAGGTGTCACAACATAACTGTGAATGCATCTCATGCCTGTCCTTTCCTTACCAATGTTGTAATGTGATGTAAACTTTGACAGCAGCTGGAGGAAGTGGTACTAGCAGTCCCAGCATACCAGGACTGGGTGAGTGGGGTCCCTGGGGTATGGTAGACACATCCACAGGACAGTTTGTGGAAGACATGTGTTCAAGACCATGTGACGGAGGATTGCAGCTACGATCGAGGCGATGTGACCAAGGCAATTGCCAAGGAGTGGAGCTGGAAGAAATTCGTGATTGCAACACCCAGCCATGTTCTGGCTCAATAGGAGCAACAGGCCCAGTGGGTCAAGCAGGAGGATCTGGTACTGGCAGCACAGGAGGTAGAGTTCAACCCATTGTTACAACACACTGAGTGGTGTCCAAGAGAGACCCTTCTTATTCTCTTTCGAGGATCCTCATTTAGACACAAAATGAAAATCATATTTTATTGTTACCTAAATCAGTGTTTGTTGCTGTATGTTCAATAGTTTTGAATTAACATTTAGTTTTGTTTTGTTTATGTTCTTGTCAAGTTTGTAGATTATTAGCTTTCAATGTTTTTGTATAGAAGACTTTTAGGGCCCTTTAACTGATATTTATGTGTATAAGTCTGCTTTTGTTGGATGTTTGTTATGGAATGTCTGTTGTGACAAGTGTGTATATTAACAAATCAAGGGTCTCATTAATTCAATTTTATACTTTTTTACAGGAATATTTTCCCATTAAGATAATGTTTTTCTTACAGGATATCTGTGATAGAATGGTGTTAGGACTGCACACTTGAGAACTTCATCACAGCCCTGCATAGGGGAGGGAAATGTTGTTCTTGGACCATACTAAGTATCTTGCTGCTGAATCTTTTCAGGTGACAACTTCCAACTGGGAGAATGGAGTCCATGGGGTGTGGTGGAGCTGGCCACTGGGAACTTCATCCCAGGGCAGTGTACCCGTACCTGTGGGGGAGGAGCCCAGTTCCGTGGCAGACAGTGCACAGGTGCTGGTTGTAACACTGTGGACCCCAGACAACTGGAGGAAAGCAGGGAATGTAACACTGAGCCATGCCAGGGGACAGGGGGCAGCACAGGCCCTTCTGGAGGGGCAGGAGGTTCAACAGGACCAAGTATGGCCACTTACATTCACTTTTGTTTTTGCTTATTTACTGTCACTTTCATTTCAGCAGTTCAGTTACGTAATGATTTTGATATTCAGTCATTAGTCACTTGTATTGTTGCCATGAGGAATGGTTACTTTTAACATTCATTTGTTTTTCTCCTCTCGTAAGACCTGGAATATAAAGTCTGTTTACTTAATGGTGTAATATTACTGCTTGATATCGGTTTATGATGATTAAACTTCCCATCTGTCAAAGGCACTAAGCATTTTATGTGTTTGTTCTCCAGCAGGTGGTGATGTCACTTTAGGCCAGTGGGGAGAATGGGGTGTGGTGGAGCTTGCCACCAATAACTTCATCCCCAACCAGTGTACCACTCCATGTGGAGGCGGCATCCAGTTCCGTAGACGTGAGTGCACAGGTGCCCCACTAGCATGCCAAGCACAGCAGGTCGAAGAAGTGAGGACATGTAACCAGCAGCCATGTACTGATGGCAGTGGTACAGGTATGAAGTCTAGCACTAGCTGTCTTTCACATGATCCAAACAGATTTTAAATAGCTGAAGACACATTAGGTTTTAGTTGTATTTTTGAAAACAACCTACATTTGTACCTCTCACTGAACAGATAATGGTAGATATGTCAAAGATGTTTTTTTTCCATTTGATACATTTTGTCATATTAATATACAATCATAACTTCACTTTTAAATTATGATAGAAACTCTACTAAGTCTAAAAGTAAGAAAAAAACTCTGAGTCTGTCTTCATTGCATATCAGGTGGAGGTGCAGGAGGCAACTACGAGTGGGGACCCTGGGGACCATGGGGGGTAGTGGAGCTGTCATCAGGAGAGTTCATCGTTGGAGAATGCACCCTTCCTTGCGGTGGAGGATTCCAGTTTAGGACCAGGAACTGCTCTAGGGGAGAGTGCCCACCACCATTCCCACCAGATGCCAGCCAATCACAGAGGTGTAATGAGGACCCCTGTGAAGGTGGTCAGGGCGGCCCTGCACCTGGTCCACTCCCTGGACCTCAAGTGCCACCCCAGAGTAAGACAGTGTTATATTCAGGCTGCTTCTATTAGTACTTTGCTGAAGAAAAATGCATTTTGCACATTGTGGGGCTCAAGTAGAAGGCTTTTTTTTCTGGCATAAACAGTACTGCTCACATCTCAAAGTTTTGCTATTTGATGTACGATTGTCAATTTCAAGAGCATGTAATATTCTGATTTTCTACATTCTGTAGTCCATATGAAAGACAATTTTTATTGACATATATTTTGATTTCATATGTTTCTCTTTTCCAGTTTCTGGATTTTCCCAATGGACAGATTGGTCTCCTTGCCCAGTCCAGTGCGGTGGAGGTAACCACACCAGAAGCAGGACATGTGCCTCAGGAGACCCCAGTACCTGTCAGGGAGACCTGGTACAAGGAAAGCCATGCAACACCATCAAGTGCAGTAAGTTATATATTTCAGATATTTTTATTCATGCATTGCAGATATGGAACATTTCAACTCTCTTATGGCAACAATGTCAGAATTACATAAAGCACTTTATCATATATACATTAAAATAGGTATATCACATAATTATAGGAAACTATTTTTCAGTTGTTGATAACGAGTGAATTGACCTTCATTTTCGATGCCTTCTCTTTTTAGACTCTATAGTCAGTGCCAACATGGTTGATGCACACATAGCACTCAATGGACAAGACTCTGGATTCTCTTTCTTGTAAGTGTTTCTGAAATCCTCTATACAGTTTAGCATATTTAACTAAACATTTATGAGCCACTTGAATATGTAAACATTTGAAATGTCATCCTGGGAATGTATGAGAAAATCAAAGTTAAGTTTTATGTGACGTATTTGTTTTTCTGTGGATGTTTAGTAATTGTCTTATCAATAATATTTTTTAAAATTTGTTCCAGCTGCTGGATAAATCAAGAATTTAGCAACCAGTGCACATTCAATTCTCCGGGTGGCACTGCCAATGCCTACTACATGGATGGTAATGATGACAAATCCGAGGTGTACATCCGCGAAGACTTCACGAAGAACGACTTCACACTCTCCATCTGGGCCCGCCCAGTCCAGGTTGATGACAGAATCCTTCTTGCATACTGGGACTGGCAATTCGCTTGGCGCCAGAAGTTCCTGTTTGGAATCAAGGACTCCCAGGTTGAAATGAAGGTTCGCAACGAGATGGAGGAGGATCTGTACGATCTCCGTGGTGGTCAAGTGAGAGCTGGAATGTGGAACCATATTGTGGTCACTTATCAGAAAGCAACCAACACCATGAACATCTACCTTAATGGAGTCAGAGTGGGCAGCCAAACCATCACAGATCCTGTCAAGAACAAGGAAATTATGCCCATGTATATGGATAGATTTGCACCAGATGTTTTCCAACTTGGTTGGATGCCAAACCCACAGAACGAGCGTGCATACAATGGCCATATGAAGGACCTGTTGGTCCTAAATAGGTCTCTGTCAGATAACGAAGTCCGTGCTTTGTTCCAGGAGAACTTGTGGTAAACGGTCTGTTATAGGGAATTACTTTGCATTGCACTGAATGTGCAGATTCTTTGCAAACTTTATAGACTCTTTTTGAACTCTTTATCATATTACATACCAAAGTGAGATATATTATTGTGATTATTTTCAACTAACATGAATTGTCACTGAAAGGCTTTAGAAGGTTAATGATTATTTTTCTGATTAACATTTTGTAAGAATACAACCAGGACAATAAACATGTTATGCTTAATCAAAGATTTTTTTCCGTTTTTTCTCCATCTCAACAATTTGTATGATCTAAAATGATAACTTAAAAAGCTTGAAAATAATAGTCATATCTGAATTTTATTAATCCCTTTTTGAGGTATACAAATTAATTTGAATAAGCTTCTTATAAAAAGATGAGAAATACATATATACAACCCACCTGAAAATCGATGCATAAAACATTAGTGTACAACCCTGGCTTATCCTCGTAGATGGCACTATTCACAAATATCCATCAAATTAAGCTGACTTAGCATATTGAATCTTTAAAATTGGTTTACTAAAAAGGGTTTAAACTTGATTAACAAACTTTCATTGAAATATAAATAAATAAAATACAACGACATTTGTAACCAATGTGTGAGTTGGCATGTAACATGGTTCAGACAGTGTTAGATGTGACGTGTTGGGTGTTACAGGATGCCGAGTATAACATCACTTGCGACTAAATTGTCAGAGAACCAGGATTTCATCACCTAAAAAGGATGTTTTGTGCCTTAAAACAGACTATAAATTTTGAAAGAAGTAAAATAAAGGCAACTTAATCCTGCATACTTAGGGCATTTGGATTTCAATAGATGATAACAAGCAAGCAATATACATTTATGTCCTGCAAATGAAACTGATATTTGGGGGAGTTTCCTTTTTCAAAGTTATAAACCTGCTGTAGCATCATATTTTTTGGCATTTTCTTTAAAATTGCACAAAATATTGAACTTAATAAGGGACTCGTACTAAATTTTACAGCCCCAGTGACACAGGGCTTGCTGCTGCTTGGAGAACAAATTTTATCCTTTTTCACCCCCTTCATAGTTGGGACTTTGAGAATATTTGATAGTTTATATCAAATTCACATTTCAGTGTGAATATTGTAGCCTTTTCTATTATAACATATTTGTAAATGGTCCAAGATTCATCTCCAAGCAGTCGCAAACCAGTTGTAACAGGGGATTAATCCACTATAAAACACCCCTCTCTTTTAGTAAGGCCTCTGTCCATGTGTCTGACAAAGCTAATGAAAATATCACTTTTGACTACAAGAAAAAACTTCAACTAATAGTTCACCTAGGCTTCTTATATAGAGATATTAAAAGAGAACTAAACTGTGACAGTCCTTCAAGTGTGATTACTGTCACAGACACTTGAATACCACTTAAACTTCCTCAGCAAATGCTTTGTCTAGAAAGACATCACAGCAAAGGCATGAGCTAACCCAGAGGGTCCTAGTCTATGCTCAATAAGTAGCAGTCTGTAATCTGGTCTATCATCTTTATCATATGGTGGTAGGCCTATTAGGATTAACTTTCTGTATTAACCGCTCTCTCTCCCTGTTCATACTAACTAGAAAGTTTTCCAGTCTGTTGTATTTATAAAGCTGGTATCCACACATCACTGCCTGTACAAGCCAGCAAAGGAACACGGCCCAACTGGCAAACTGGAAAGAATGGATAAGTATAAGAAAAGTGGTTGAAACTCAGCCAGGAGCTTTAACAACTTAAAATGTATAACAGTTGAAACAGGGTTACTTGGCTAGGAAAGTTTTCCTGTTTTTTTTTAACTTTATCATCTTGAAGGTTTATCATAATGTACAACAGAACTGTTTCAGGAAAACTTCACAAATAAAAACTTTCTTTATATTTTACTTTTTATCAAGACAAAGAACAATTGTGAATGCAAATCTGTCATCACTTTTTTCTACTTACTTGAGCCATTCCAAACTGGACAAAGTAGCCACTTGTTTTTATATCTGGATAATTACTGATCTTTATGTCACCAAATGATGAGTCTTCACAGCTGAAAGATTCAAAATGATACATCCTTGATGGTTAATTGCATGTCATCCATGTGTGAAGCACTTTTCATAAAAAAAATATATATAAGCAAAGTTGTTGAACAAGTTCTAAAAGAAAAATAAAGACATTTTCTTCAAATAAAACTTATTTTATTTTCATTATTTACTGCAGCACCAAGTAAGGCAAAAACTGAATACCATTGAGCATCAATTTTTAAACTCATATATTTGAAACCTGAGTCATAAAATTTCTCACATTACTGGATCACAGAGCTTATGACATTCTAACGAACTGTGAACTGATGCAAAGTTCTCAATAATTGTTTGAGTGCTAAACAGTCCTCTGCTGAAAACATGCTTACCTGTCTCTTGCTCCATTATTAGTTATTACATTACACCAGTGAGAAAACCCTGAACTGAGGGTAATGGAGGAGGCAAAAGTCATAACAGTTGCAGTACCACTGACCAAAACTGCACCAAAAGCTGTTAGCCAGGACCTGGAGAAGTCATTCAAATGTCAAGACTCAGATGTGAAATGAGATTTAAACATTACATCATACATGGCCAGGTCATGTGAACTCCAGGGCCCCGTAACTCGAAAGAATTGCACATTGAGACCATATAATGCATATAATATAATATATTCACATGTGCCTGTCACATGAAAAGAGAGAGATTATAGATACATTGACAAAGTATGCTAACTGAAGCTTTTTTTCTAATTTCACTAGCTGACTCAACAATATGACTGCCCATTAGAGATAACAAACATACATGAATACGTAGTACATGATTATCAATCATAATAATCATCAATAAAGGTTGATTATAAAAGCGTTTATGCAGATTTTTTTTCATCTTGGTTTTAACAATGTTTTTGGTCAAGATGTTACTTCACCAGTGAAACTTTCTGTGTGGGGGTACAAAACTTTAATTTGTACCAATAAATTGCATTAATTTTCTTACAAGTTATACACTTGTACATGTACTTTAAAAATGACCGTCACAGTGCGCTGGTTCTCAAAACCCTAGGGAAATATCATTCATTCATGTCATGCTTGATAACGGGATACTTACGGCTCCCTGTCCTTGTACAAGTGAACTGACATCCATATGAAATAAAAGAAACTAGCAATACATGTCACACATCCGAGAAATATACTGAAATCACAGCCGCTGTCTGGTCCAAAACTCACAGTTATTTCGTCGTGTGTTTCATTCCATGTCCCTGATGCAAAAAGCAGACAATGTCCTAGAAATTGAGACTGGTTTGATCCAAGTGGGATGAATAAAAAGAATGAGATTATGAATAAAAGCAAATAGCCTGTCACTTGTGACAAAACGAGGACATTTCCTAGTCCCATCTCTCCGCATATACTCTTTCCGTGTTTTGATCTCGTGACGGGATTTCACGGTATAGCCTCATTCTGACATCAGATACTATAATTGAATACGGCTATTTGTCCCGAATACGAGTTTTGGCTGAGGAGAATTTCCCATCCCAGCATCCATTCCCAGTGAAATTTGGTTATTTCTCCATGTAACCAAACGTAATATGCATTTAGGAAGTTTACAGGCCTAGATCTACATCTTTAAATTCTTATCATTAAGACATTTTGCTTCTTGTTTTGCATTTAATTCTGGTTGTTTTGTTGTCAAGAATAGGATACAACGCTGATTTGTCAAGTAAAATAGATTTTGAAACATATGTAGCGGCGTACATGGAGTGTTACCCACAGCCCGACATGGCAGACGAAGAGGTTGTGCAGCAAATGGAAGCTCAAGGTAAATCTCTATAAAGCAATTAAATTAGGTTCATTTAGGTATCTTGCCTTGCATCTATGACTTAAGTCTTTTTCACAGATAGCTAAGGAGCGCTGATAATCGTATTATGTCCCCTTTCTAGTCTCAAGTGCTTTTACATATGTGAGAATTTCAAGAAACACGAGACCGAGTGGAATGGCAATTGTTCCACACATTTCCAGTTACTTTTCTGGTGATGCATGTCGTTGTTAACTGGAAGGTTTTTCGCTACTATAGATTCTACCCTATATCTATTTCAGAAACTCACCCTGTTGCAACAGGGATTTCTACAGTACATGAGGAAACGCCACTACAAAAATACTGGAAAGCTGTGAGGGACAATCCTTCAGATTTTACTGGGTGGACATATCTGCTGCAGTATGTAGAGCAAGAGGTAGGGAACATTTTATATTATGAACATGAATGAAAATCCTTACAGTTACTAGTTCTGGACTGTTTCAGCAAAATTTTTGTTTTCTATAATCACACAGCTGTAAATGTTTAGCTAATGCATTTAGAATATAAAATTAAATGCCAAATTGAGGACCTTGTGAAGAAATATTTTAAAATATTTAAAAACTCTAAAGTATTCTTTAATTGCTAAGTATTATATTTTAGGAAAAGCAAAATGAATGTTCAAAATCTACTTTTCCTTTCTCATAGAGATTTATGATCATTTTCATTGTAGGGAAAACTTGAAGAAGTCCGTGAGGCATATGACGCTTTCTTTGGCTGTTACCCATACTGTTATGGATACTGGAAAAAATATGCAGACCAAGAAAAAAAGCGTAAAAACCTGGATAAAGCAGAAGAGGCAAGTTTCATAGTTGAGGATTGTTAATGAGCATACATTTTATTGACTTGGAAATAAGTACAGTAATCACAGTGCTCACTCTGTTTAAGCTTTGATACAAAGATTGTGATAAAACAGTTGCGTTTTTGTATAATTGATGAGATTTTTATGATACAAAAATCTCATCAATATACTACTGTTATGTTTTCATTTCTATACTTTTAGTTCTCAACATGACCTCAAACGGGAAGCACAATGGAAGAGTGGATGCAACTCTTCTGTAGACATTTTTCAATTTTTTAATGATCGTAAAATTCAAATACTGTCATGGTGTAAGCCACAATGACTACATCATATGGACTGCCTGCGTCACCATAGGAACAAGCCAGGAAAAAGAAGACATCGGCTGACATGGCATCCAGGTGGTTGCATTGAAATCGTGTCAAATTATGAATTTCCAGTTGACATTAGCATCAATTTTGCTTTCTTTTCCTTTTTTTCTACCGTTCTGTTTAATTGCAGCTTATACATTACAGGTGTATGAACGAGGACTTCAAGCCATCCCCCTGAGTGCAGATTTGTGGCTAAATTATATAAGCTTCATTAAAAGTAAATATGCAGATGCAACAGATCTGGAACAGAGAGTTCGGAGGTAGGGATCCAGTCCCACATATTTAATACTTTTATTTGTCCTATCATAACATCTTAACAGAATCTTAGGATTTATGTAGTATGTTAGTAGTTATGAATCCCTTGGGTACATTTGTATTGATTTGTGTAGGGAACAATAAATATCACGGTGTTTCTTTTGTTTTGCACATATTTTCATGTGAGCAAAAAATACAATTTACCAAATTAAGCTTGATGTTCTTCTCTTAAAAAGTTGTTCTTTTAAATCATTTCCCAATGTCCTGAACATAAAGTTATTTTATATAGGCCTTCCTTGGTAGATTTAATACAAAATAATGATAATTTTGCAGAATATTTGAGAAGGCAATCACAGCTGCTGGGACTGACTTCAGATCTGATAAACTTTGGGATGCATTTATCTCCTGGGAGAAAGAAGCCAATAACTGGCAGAGAGTGCTGACATTGTATGACCGTCTCATTGCAATACCAACTCAACTATACAGCCATCACTTTGATAAGTGAGTTGTAATGTGGTGAAACTCCTGGAATGGAGTTATCTGATTGGTTTTTGTTAAATATGTCATTTTGATTAACCTATAATATTATTTATGTTTTAACTATGTTGCTTCATAGTGTGTCGTACTTTATTATGTCAGGAGTTGTTCTCTTATAATATTTTATATCATCACTCTTGCAGTTTATGGATATTGCTATACTTAGTTAATGGGTATTAATGGCCAATTAATATGGGCCCTAGTTATATCTTTTTCAAATGTAAGAACCTTTCTGGTGCATAGTTAAATGTTTCCCATCTGGTTAATAAGTAATGCTGTCAAAATTGTTTTTCAGTCTAAAGAACTTTGTATCAGAAGTGAAACCAAAAGAGATTCTTAGTTTAGATGAGTTCTTGAAGTTAAGACAAGAAGTAGTTGCAGAGCTTGGGCAGACTACTACTAATGAAGACTTGGGAGAGGATGGAGCCCCAGGGATGGAGGATGATGCACCCCCTGGGTTAGATGATGCACCCCCTGGAATGGAGGATGAGACCTTTAAATCAGAATCTTCACATACAAAAGAAAGCAAGTCTGATAAAGACAAAAATGTAGGTTTATTTCATTCACCTTTTTTTAATGAAATCATTCAAAAAATTAGAAAAAGTGAAAAAGGTATCAAACTAGCCAAGAATCAAAAGTGGAGAGAAAAGTATGCAAATTGTAATTTGCTGCAATGGCATTGTTATATTTTTCATAAGTAATAACTAATACTTGGATTTTTGGGACCCAAGTGTGTTCACTTGGAAAATCCCGACTTTCACTTTGTTTTTGTAAAGCATGATGATCCAGAGACCAAGCTGCTAAGAGATAAAATCATTAGTGCTAGAGAAGCCATTTACAGAATCACAGAAGAGGAAGTTAGTAAAAGATGGAATTTTGAAGAAGGAGTAAGCATATAAAACATTTTGTACAAAATATGGATTAAATCACCTTACTGGTGTAATATCAGTGCAAAATGATCTTAGATGGAAATATGTAAACATTGGATCTTTATCAAGTTTTTTTCCCCAGAATTTTATGCCAAGTTGTTAAAATCAAGATATTTAAAGACTTGAAATGTATATGAAACTGTATTAAAAATGGGATGGAATTTTGTTTAAACATTGGAAATGTTTGCTGATATCATTTCAGATTCGCAGGCCATATTTTCATGTGAAGCCATTAGAGAGATCCCAACTCAAGAACTGGAAGGAATACCTTGACTTTGAGTTGGAACATGGTACACACCAAAGAATAGTGGTGTTATTTGAAAGATGTATAATTGCCTGTGCTCTGTATGAAGAGTTTTGGTTAAAGGTATTATACAAGCTTTTATATGTATTTGAGTTAAATTAATTAAACAGTTTTAGTTAAACTTTGAATCAATTGTGTCATTTGTTTCAGGGATAAAAATTCTCTCTGTATGTGAAAAAAATGAAGTTCAGAAAGATGTTGAATATTGTGTAGGATGTACAAAAGCGGGAGAGGGGGTGTAGGGGTAGTGATGGCTTTTGGAATGGTCATGATTTCATCCTTTGTTTGTCATTGTCTAATTTATTTGAAATTTGAAGTAGAAAGGAAAGATTTCCAAGCATGGCTATTGTCATGATTTCAGTATGCTAAATACCTGGAAAATCACAGTGTGGAGGCAGCACGGAAGATGTTTAAGAGGGCATGCTGCATTCATTTGCCAAAGAAACCGAGTATTCATTTGACTTGGGCAGCCTTTGAGGAAAGGCATGGTAAGCATTTAGTGAGTTCAACTTCATGTGCAACATTTTTAATCCAGTTGTTATTGCTGTTAGAAACATATTTTTTAAAAATCATTAAAAGCAACAGTTTGAGATAGAAAACAATAGAAAAAAATATTTAAATGTTCACAACTATATTTAAATGTGTGCTCTTATACTTAGGTATAGGCAAAAGGGACATGTTAGTTTGTGCTACTTGATTTATGATTTCTTTGCTCTCGATTCTATAAGGTTTTACCATATTTCAGGTAATTATGAAAGTGCCCTTGAAATCTTGCGTAACATAGAGAAGAGAGTCCCAGGACTGGTGATGGTTCCTCTGAGGAGAATTGGTCTAGAACGGCGTCATGGCAACCATCATCAAGTACACGAGTTATATCAGGCTTATTTAGATACTGCCACATCACCAGAAGAACATTCATTCCTCTCCTTGAAATTCTCTAGACATCTTTTGAAGGTAATGGTCCAGTTACTGGTATATTTAGTTTGCTGGAAGTTTTATGAGATTTAAGTAGATAAAGGGGTATGCTGGATAAAAAATGTTAGAATGTGTGACCAATTTTACCCTATTTGATTACCTACCTTGAAGATTAATTGGCTTCATAGACAACAACATTGTAAGCCAAAAATAATTCTACATTGATTTTTGTTAATTTAAAAGCCTTGTTAAACTTCTGCTTTTGATAAAGACTATTAGATATAAACTAAGGTTCATTTTCTCATAATGTGCTAGCAGTATACCATTTGAATATTCCAGGTTAATAATGACAGAGAAAAAGCCAAAGAGGTTCTTTTAAATGCATTAAAAAAGGACCCTGTAAGTGTTAGAATGGTGATGTAAAGAATCCATTTTGTGATTATGAGTTAAGACAGCACAATGATAACTTTTTAATGTGAATGGTAACAGAAGTGAAAACTTGAAATGAAGATTTTTAAACATTAAAAGCAGTTCAGTAAGGATACAGTAATACATAAATGCAAAGTATCAAGGTCTATTTCTTTCTAAGAGAAATATAAGTCACTACTTGTTCCTGTCAGTATCCATGCTTTTCGTAAAGATCACTGAGGAACAGATGAGTTCAAATTCCTATATTTGTGTTTTTAGCTTGCAGTCTGGAGCCAGAAGACTAAAAGTTGTGTTTATATTTCAGAATAACAGCAAGCTTCACCTACAGTTACTAGATCTGGAGTACCAAACCAGTCCCCTTGTAGAAGACGGCATACTAGGCATTCTCAACAATGTTTTATCCACTGAAATGACAATAGAAGAAAAACTCAAGTTCTCTCAGAGAAAGTTAGAATTCCTAGAAGACTTTGGATCTTCCATAGAAAAGTATGTCATTGATAAAGGAATTCACATTACGTAAATTGACTTTTTGTATGCTTCTATCATTCTTGACTGTAGCTTGTAGGAATAATGTCTTGGGTCATATTACTGTGACAGTCATTACTTTTATGGTTCACTTTCCTGCCAGCTTTAAGTTTTATTGAATATGATGATCTGTCTGTAAATGAAAATAATTTTATTTTCAGGCTTGTGGAAGCTTATGATGATCACCAGAAGC